CAGTCAGGTGGGCTCAATTAAACCTCCTGTCGTTTGCTCCGCCGTCCCGTATCTTCAGCCACCCCGTTTAGTGCAACAGTACTGGTACCTCGCGCCCTCCTAACTAAATCATTTCGCGGGATCCGCGACCCCTGCTCCGCCCAATTATTATTATTCATACTCCGCTTGTGCCCTATGGCGTGCCGGACCCTCTGCTAGTGAGTGTACAGGAAAACCGTGCCTTCCCGGGCCGGGTGAAAAAACCGATACCAACAATCAAGGAACGATGCGTTGTAGTGAGTCTGCGTATACAAAGAGAGGAGGCCTCCTGGCCTCCGGACGGGGGCATTTCAGGCCGCCGCTTCCAGCTCGAGCCTCCTGGCTATAGCTGTACATCGGCAGCTTCCCCGAGTCCATCAGCCAGTCGAGGATCCTCCTCGCGAGCCGTGCAGTCGTGGGATTGATGCCGTGTAGAACAGAGTAAAAGTCCCGTCGTGTCCAAATTCCAGTTCTCTCCCATCTTCGAGTCAACGGTGGGGCCAAACACCACACTACCAGATGTTCGGCAGTCTCTCGTCCCTCGCCACACTCGCAGACAGGCGTCAGAACCTCCGGGACTCCCCGTGTAAACAAGAAGTCCCGTAAGCCTATTGATCCCGTCCGGATTTGAATCAGCAGTGAGCTCTTTCGCCTTGCTGAGACCGTCATGCCTCCTTAGGGTTTCGTTCCGGAATAGCGTCTCCTGCTGATGGTCAAAGTCGTCCGCCGGTCTGGTGAGCGCTCTGCCGTCCCGTTCCCTTTAACCACCTCGCTCTCCAAGCCTCTTCTACTACCCTGTTCGTATCAACGATTCCCCCCGTCCAGCGCATGACCGTGCCCGCAGCTCTCTCCACCGCCGTAGGCCCTTGAGGTCCCGAGGTTTGCGGTCGGCTGCCTGTTGCCCCTCCTCGAGCTAAGTCTCTGCTGTATCATGCGGCAAGCGGTGAGGACAACGCTCCCCGCCGTCTTGCCGCCTTGGCCGTCGTCCAGATCGGGTTGTTGGAGTCGGTTTTCGAAATCTGCAAGCCGTTTGTTTAGGTATAAGTCCAACGGTGGTACCCACGTCTCTGTCTCGAGGTTACGGATGGGGGTAGACTTAAAGGCTCCCGCCACAATCCTCAGGCTCTTGTTCTGGGCCTTCCCGAGGGCCTTGGTGATGCCTTTCTTCACCGGTTCACCTCCCACATCCGTGGGAATGTGGAACGACGATGCGCCATAGGCCAGCGCTGACCGGATGCACTTTGTGTACACTTCTCGCGCTTTGGCTGGCCCCAGTCCCCACGTCGATGCCGTTAGCCTCGACAGGGCATAGCTCTGGGTCCTCAACTTCTTCTCCACTGCCGCCAGGTGGGCTTTCCAGTTGAGCTTCCGGTCCAGCCAGACTCACCAGGAACCTGGTAGACTCCTTCGGTCTGACGGGGCTGGTGCCTTCCCCTGGGTTAGTGAGTTCCAGCTGGTTTGTCCACTGCCGTCGTCCTTTGTTGAAATGGATCAGTTCGCTCTTTTCCGGGGCGAACTTCATCCCCCCGACTGTCCGCCCATCGCATGCATGTTTCCCACGCCGCCTCCAGTTGCCGGACATTGGCCTCGGGGTTTCGACCAAATACCAGGAGGTTGGTGTCGTCCGCAAACCATGTTATAGCCAAGTGTGGGTGCTCGTCTTGTAGCTGCTTGTATAATGAGGAAATGTAGAGAATGAAGAGAACAGGGGAAAGTGGTGAGCCTTGGGGGACCCCTGCCCGAATTGCTGTCGGTACCGCCGTTTTGCTGTCAAGAAGGAGGGTGGCCTCTCGGCCCGTCAACCAGTCTTTTTTCCAGAGGATAAGCCACCTCGGGTAGCCCATTTCTCGCAGTGTTGCTAGTAGTCGCGTGTGGTTGACCGTGTCAAAGGCTCCTGAGATCTCCAGTTGCAATAGGGATGCCGCGGCCTTCTGTCTCCACGCCTCCTGGACCTGGGCTACTACCAGCCGGACAGCCAGCTCCGTGGAGTTGTGTGCCCTGTTCCCCGTTTGTTCGTCTGGTAGAAGGCCGTTGACTTCAGCAGCTTGAGTGACCTTCCTGGCGACCACTGACTCTACTACCTTCCCTAGGGTCGGCAGTAGCGCAATGGGCCTATACCCCCCCGGGGTTTGATACACTGGCGGTGCCTTCCCCGGCTTCGGTAGCACTACGGTCTTTGCCCTTTTGAACCGGTTGGGAAACCATCCTAGGTCCAGGCACCTCGTTGCCAATACGGCGAGCACTTCAGCCAATGGTGTTCCACATGCCTTCAGAAGACCCATCGGGAGCAGATCCTCTCCTGGCGCCTTCCAGGGGCTTGACCCTCCTATTGCTTTCGCGACCTCGGTCGGTGTCACTGCCGGTGAGACGTCGAAGCCCGGGTTCCAGCTGCCCAAGAAGGCTTGGTCTTCCACGTCCGCTAGGTTGGCCGGAGGGTCCGGGAAGAACCTCTCGGCTAGCCCTGGCCTTCTGGTCATGCGTTTCGGCTGTTACATGCTCGGACGAGTCCTTATATGCCGGTAGCCTCGGTGGTTCGGGCGGTAAAAAGCTCCGTAGCCTAGCCCATCTTTCCAGAAGCCGGGAAAGGCACCGCCAGTGTATCAGACCCTGGGGAAAGGTAATAGAGTCAGTGGTTGCCAAAAAGGTCACCCAAGCGGCAGAAGCCCACGGCCTGTTACCAGACGAGCAAATGGGAAACAGGGCAAATCGCTCCACGGAGCTGGCTGTCCGGCTATCCCAGGTCCAGGAGGCGTGGAGACAGAAGGCGGCGGCGTCCCTATTGCAACTTGACATTTCAGGAGCCTTTGGCACGGTCAGCCACCCCCGATTACTAGCAACGCTGCGAGAAATGGGCTACCCGAGGTGGCTAATCCTCTGGAAAAAGACTGGTTGACGGGCCGCGAGGCCACCCTCCTTTTTGACGGCAAGGCGGCGGCACCGACGGCAATTTGGGCAGGGGTCCCCCAAGGCTCACCCCTTTCCCCTGTCCTCTTCATCCTCCATATTTCCTCATTATACAAGCAGCTAAAAGACGAGCACCCTCACCTGGTTATAACGGGGTTTGCAGATGACACCAACCTCCTGGTATTTGGTCGAAACCCGAGGCTAACGTCCGGTGTTGCGGTCCCGGGCCGGGGTTCGGGGCCCACCTTTTCCAGACTGCGCGCGCGCCGCTAACCCTGCGTGGGTAAAACCCCACGCAGTGCCATCAGTTCTCTCACTTAGTTAGTTAGACCAGTTTTCCACAAGAATACACAGTCTTGAGGCAGAAGAAGTGCCTAAAAAGGATTGAGGTTGTTGCAGCTAAAGCTGCAGCAGCCGAAACTACATAAGAACTGTGAGTGGGCTTGTGCACAGGCCAACCTGCAGGGCGCTAGCCCTGCAGGTGCCAACACAGCCCCCCAAGCGCACACACAGATGCGAAGCTATACTACGTACAGAGACCCTTCCCAATGCGGAAGTTGTGATACTTTAACATGGTGTTGATCCTCCTGAACAAAGCCTCCTTGATGGTCCCAGCCTGCCACGTGACCCCAGATCTTGTTGTAATTTCCATTTAGATCCATGCAGTCCAACCTCCATTTGTTGACTGATCCACGCCGACTGCTCCTATCAGACACTGCTCAATCGGCCCGGATCTTCCCTTCACGGAGAGGGGGAACGCAGAGACCCAACTGTTTGACGAACTGAGCGTGTTTCGCACCACTCAGGCCCTTTGTAAGGCCGTCAGCTACCATATCATCAGTGCCGACGTGGTCCAGTTGGAATTGGCCCATGGCCATGCGTTGGATTATCCATTTGTACCGCAGGTCAATGTGATAAGTTCTGGCGGTGTTAAGAGGGTTCAGGGCAATCGCCCTGGCGTTGGCTGAGTCGGTAAAGAACAACAGAGGCGCATTCTGTTGATACCCAGCGTCCTTCAATACATTGGCTACCCACAGTAGCGACAGCGCCGTAGGCGTCAAATTGATGAACTCTGCCTCAGTGCTCGACAGAGTGACGAGTGTTTGTTTCTTGGCCTTCCAGACCACAGGGCAGTTGCCGATCATGACAACGTGACCCCCAACCGACACGCGTGTCAACAGGTCGGTCGCGAAGCTGGCATCGCCATGAGCCCGCAGTTGTAGGTTTGAGGGCGTGATACCTCCACCACAGCGAATTCCAAGGTCGCGCGTGCCCGAGATGTATCGCCACAAGTGCTGAAGAAGTTGAAGATGGGCGCTCGAGGGCCCCGAATTTGCTTCGCCCAGTCGCATGGTAGTGTAGGACATGTCGCTACGAGTACCGTTTGCCAGGTAATTGATGGCGCCGACTTCTGATTGATACCCCTTCGTGGCTGATTCAACCACATCGTAGGTCTTCGGAAGATTGAAGCCGCCCGTGATCCAGGGAGTCTTTACTGCGTGGAGGTTCGTCTTGCCGAATCGCTCCAGGATCTTCGTGACGTAAGTCGCCTGATTGACGTAGATAACACGGTTGTCGCGATCGCGGAACACCGTATAACCAAGGAAAGTGCGGGCCTCGCCCAGGCACTTCAGCTCGAAGATGGAACCCAACACGTCGGCGACCTTATTGATACTCTCGACAGTCGGCGCCGCAAGAAGGAAGTCGTCGACGTAGATCAGAAGCAGGGCGCCATTTCCGGTATGTTTGAACATGCAGCCGTCTGTTGTCAACGGCTCAAAGTCCAGTTTCTTGAGCTCCGGAACGAGGGTCTGGTACCACCACAATGACGAACGTTGAAGGCCATAGAGGGCCTTTACGAGGCGGCACACTTTATCAGTGCCATCCTCGAACCCTGTGGGTTGCCGGACGTAGACATCCACGTCGTCAGGAACAATGGCGTTCAGAAACGCGTTCACGACGTCAAACTGGTGGCACTCGAGGTCCAGTGCAGCCACAAGGTTGAAGAAGATACGGACTGTTGATGCATGTACAACAGCTGAGTAGACCTCGTACGGCTGGTAGTCGCCATTCTCGAAGTTACCACAGACAACCCAGCGGGCGCGATTCCGCACCCAGTTGCTTTGGTCGTCAAACTTCTGGTCGAATACCCACTTGCCAGGGAGAACATTGGCGCCAGGAGGCCTGTCAACCAGCTTCCAGGTGCCAGACGCGATCAATTTGTCGTATTGTTCCTGGCAAGCAGGTTGCCAGTGCGTATAAAAGTCAGTTCGCTTTGACGCTTCCTTGTAAGTCTTGGGGATCTTGGCGTGGGTAGGTGCGAAGAGGTCCTTATTGTCAATCACTGACATGATCATCTCTGGCGCCTCAAGCTCAAACTGATCAAGATCCACGAAAAGCCCTGCAAGCAGTTTTTCAGCGGCCTCTTTGCCCTTGCTGTTGAGGGTTGAATAATAACCAGGTGGCAAGGCCCTTCGACGTGGGCGTGTCTCCTCAGTGTTGAAGATGCTGTCGTTCCGAACTTCCTGATCTTCCTGATCCACCATGCCTTCGGTGTCAAAGTGGTCGTCAGCCCCCGCAGGTTCAGGGGTCGGTTCAGGGGTTTGGAGGCCAGTGTCAATGTTCTCTGGCGTGTCGGCTTCCTTGTCAAGTACAGCGGAGTCCTCCACAATGACAGGGTTGTCGTCAAACTGCACCTTATTCGCAGGTGTAGGGCGGTCGACGACGTCGTGATCAAGGTAGACAACTGTCTTGAAGAACTCGTCCTCGTGGTAAACATCCTTGAAGGTTGCTTCGTAGATTGGCTCGTTGTCGACAGTTGTGTCGTCAGGCTCAGTCAGTTCCTCAATGAACCGCGCATCTCTGGCGCGTACAATACGCCCACTGCTATTCAGTCGGATGCGGTAGACCTTGCCCGAATTGCCTTCGTAGCCACAGAGCTTCCCCTCAATGGCCTTTGCCAGCATCTTGCGGCCCTGTGGTCTAACCTTCTTATCGTGGATGTGGACGAAGGTAATCGCACCATACGCCCTGAGGTGGTGGATGCGTGGAATGCACTGATCCCGCGCGAGACCAAGCGACTCACCCAGTGTTTGCATAGGCGACTTGTCGTCTGTATTGTGGGAGGTTGGCAGGCGGTTCAAAACATGAACAAACGCCTCCTCCGCCAACGGCCAGTATTCTTCAGGAAATCCCGCCTCCAGATTCGCAGTGCGGGCGCCCTCAACAATGGTACGGCCGGCGCGTTCTGCCATTGGGTTCTGTTGCGGACAGTTTGGCGATATGGGTGTCAACTTCTTGCCACGAGCAAGACACCAGTCCCTCAGCTTATCCATGCTGAACTCGGTGCCATTGTCGACGTGGATCTCTTGGACTAAGGTCCCTGATTGTACCTCCACAAAGACGATATAGTTGGTAAGCGCCGTGAAGCCATCCGACTTGCTTCCAATGGCGACATACCAATGGTAAGCAGAGTACTGGTCAACGATGTGGATGGCGTGATTCTTCCCGCCAATGCCAGTAGGCTTGTGTGGAATGGAGTCGACGTGGATGCGCTGCAACGCGCGCGACACTGCGGGCAGTTTGTCGTGGGATATCAATTGCTGCGACTTGCCAAGATAACACCACTTGCAACGATGGCTACCTGCATCGCGGGTGTTAATCTTGATACCTGCTTGCCTGCAGGCTTTGATAACTTTGTCCATTGACGCGTGCATCAAACGACGATGCATGACTTCGTAGTCAATGGCGGGGAGAGCCAGATGCTGAATGGCAACCAGGACGACTTCAGTACTCTGGACCGGAATAGAATTTAGTTTGAAGACCGAGATGTCTCCAACCCAACCGAGCTGTGCGACTTCCTGAGCAGGGTTGTCCTTGAGGATAAGACGGTCAGTCAGACCGTCAAACACCGCCCCACGGCGACGCAGCTGCCCGGTTGACACGAGATTGAGAGGCGTATCCTTGGAGTAAATGGCGTTCCGGATGGTCAAGTTGGTAAGGCCACCACACGACCGCTCGCATGAGAGAGAGACCACACCTCCCAGGGCGTGATTCGAGGTGCCGCCATTTGCAGAGGCGACTTTAACAGGTTGATCAAGCTCAGACAGGTCGTCAAACCACTTGGATTCGTTGAATACGCTGTTTGAAGCGCCCGAATCTAGGCAAACAGTGTCCCGAGTGATCTTTGAGTCTGCAGAGATGGATCCAACTACTGCAGAGGCGACGACTTTGTCTGCAGCCTCAGAGGGCTCAGCACCGTCGTCAGCAATGTCAAGGTTGTAGACATCAATCGCTGTCATCAGATGGACGGTGTTGATCAAGGCATTGGCCCTATTGTTGTTGACGCCGTTCATGACGCCTGAGTCAAAGTTGAATATGCCACGGTTGGCGTTGTTGTTGTTCCCACCATCAGGCGTACCGCTGCTGTTGGTGTTGCAAGTGTTGCTTGACGCGTCGTTTTTCTTCTTACGCGCATGGTATTCCTTCTTTTTCTCTGGGTGCACAACCCAGCACTCATCATTGCCGCCAGGATGGTGTAGTTTGCAGATGTCGTGGTACGGGTGTCTCGGGGTGCTTGGATGGTATTTACCGCACCTGGGGTCGCCGCAGAGTGACCCTGACTGAGCGCCAGCTTGTTGTTGTGACTGAGGCCGAGACTTTTGCTGTCCGGCTTGCTGATTGTTGCCCTTCTTGGCGGTTTGATTCGACGTGGCCGACATGTTGAACATGGTCTGTTCGTTAGCCTTAGTCGTGACGAGGTTGAGCAGTTTCTCGTAATCCAACTGTCCAGTCTGCAGTTGGAAGCGAAGCATGTCGACCCAGTTGGCATCGTATGTCTTCAAACCCAAAAGGAGTTGCGCCTGTAGGAACCTGTCTGGAAGGTTGATGCCCACGTCCTTGAGCTTCGCAATCAGGTAATGGAAACGCGAGACGAAAGCGCGCAAGGTGTCGTAGTTGCTGGCGTTGATCTGGGAGAGTTCCCACACCATACCACACCAACCTTCGTCGGACATGCCTGTCAAGGCTTTGCAGGTCGCAAGGTAAAGCTTGTATGGGTCGAAGTCGTCCTCGGCATACACGTAGCCGTTGCTCTTGATTATGTCCCTGACCGGGGCGACTGACTTCGAAAGAGCCGCGTATGCAACAGTCTGTTGGACGCGGAACTTGTTCTTCTTCTTGGACGACGCATTCGCGGGAGGCTCAACAGCCGTACCATCGAGGAACTTGGTGATGTTGAGAAGGCGAAATGCGACACGAACTTCCAGCTTCCACTCCTCCAGGTTGTGGTCACCCTTAAGTGGAATGATGGTAGGCACTGTGATCTTGGTCAAATCGAGGTCATCATCGTCGCCGTCGTCGATGATGTCGTTGTTGGCCGGCGGGAGGCCAGCCAGAGGGTTGTCGTTGTCGGGCATTTTGACTTGACTGGGAGATCGCGCACTTTTAACTTCAAAGTAGGCGACAAGACGATCCCGACGCGTTCAAACGCTTGTTTGAATGCCCTGTCGAGAGAGAGAGAAAGAGATGCGGTTGACTGGCGCGACTGACTTTGCGCAGTCTTCCTGACGATGGTGGGGGTCTGCGACCAGGCCACCAGAGAGCGATTCAGCCGCTGCAAGCAACCAAAACACCAAAAGAACGCGGCGATATTAATCCCCTGACTAAAAGAGGGCTTCAATATTGCCAGAAAATGAAAAGGGAACACAGAGGAAAACGTGAGGGCTCATAACCTCTTGAGGCAGAGGAAGTGCCTAAAAAGGATTGAGGTTGTTGCAGCTAAAGCTGCAGCAGCCGAAACTACATAAGAACTGTGAGTGGGCTTGTGCACAGGCCAACCTGCAGGGCGCTAGCCCTGCAGGTGCCAACACACAGATCTTTAGTGCCTGTGTCTTTCACATCCGGCAACTAGAGGCGGCGTGGGAAACGTGTCTGCGATGGGCGGACAGTCGGGGGATGAAGTTCGCCCCGGAAAAGAGCGAGCTAAACCATTTCAACAAGGGACGGCGGCAGTGGACGAACCAGCTGGAACTCACCAACCCAGAGAGGGGCACCAGCCCCGTCAGATTGATAGGGTCTGCCAGGTTTCTAGGAATCTGGCTGGACCGGAAGCTCAAATGGAAAGCCCATCTCGCGGCGGTGGAAAAGAAGCTAAGGACTCAGAGCTACGCACTGTCGAGGCTGGCGGCGAGGGCTAGCTAAAGCGCGGGAAGTGTACACAAAGTGCGTCCGGTCGGCTGGTGCTGGTGCTGGTGCTGGTGGTGCTGGTAATTATACGGGAGACCATGGGCAAACGAGAAAATCGGGAAATGGCCATCCGCGGTGGCGCTGGTGATCTGCGCCGGTGTGTGCGGTGACTGCGGCCATGAGTTGTGTTAATGGGAGAAGACCGTTTTCGGCGGGCTGCTGGACACGAAAGCGGTGCCCTCTTCGTTTTTCCGGGTCAACGGTGACCTCGGTTGTAGCGTCTGTGCTATGGTCAGAACAATACCGAGTCGACTAGTACCGGAAACCTACCAATCTCGTTTCTCTTGTACCTCTCCTCCATCTTGGCGACCCTGAAGAGCCACTTCAAAATGGGCTTCTTTCTTGCGTTCTTCGGCTTGTTTGCAAACCAATCCTCGAGTGAGTCCATGGCGGCGGCCTCGAACCTGGCAACTATGATACTTCCTAGCTTCTGAATACTCGGGGTCCAGGCCTCGGGGTTGATGACCAACCTCAGAATGTGCTTCAAGAGGTGGATGCGCTCTGTTTCTTGATTAGATGGATTCTCGGACTACACCTCACCCGGATACGCACCCTTCTTCCGCAAATGGTCGGGCTCGACGTGCCGAACCCTGTCGGGCCACCAATCCGGAGCCGCGGCGTCGCCCTTCGCATATGGAAAGGTCCTCCGCTTCTTAGGGCAAAGGATTTTGACAAAGGCCTTGGCCACCTCTTTGCAAGCGTCTTGCTGGATTTCCGTGAAACTGCGGCCGTAGAACTCCATCACAGCCTTTGCGTCGCCGACCATGAGGGTCTTCCTCGAGTTGACGATGATGGATGGCGCATCGTCTAGTTCGTACCGCATTCTACCCTGCCTCCTCTGGCGTTTCCTGCTGGGTCCCAGCCAGCAGTCTTGAAAGAGAAACAAGGTGCGAGTGGAATAGTCTTCAGTGTCGTACTTCTTATAACCCTCTTGAATGCCGTTTCACGTCAGTAATTATAGAGGTGATGATGTCGTCAAGCTTACCCGACGATGCCCAATTCTTGAGGATGTCCTATTCGGGGCTGGGCCCGGAGGGGTAGGCAAACCCGCCGTCGCCATAATTGGTAGCGAGGAGGCTCTCGAAGATGTTGCAATGCTCTCCCAGTGCCCCGGTAGCCGTCTGCTTCATGTCTGATCCCCCTGAGTTCCGGAATGTGGGGGTGAAGGATTGATCGCACGTACCATGAGCGGAGCGGTCCTTGCCTGCGGAGGTACGAGACTCGTATCGTTGTGACCAACGAGGTTACTTCCATCCCAAGGCCGTGAGCAAGACGAGCGGCGGTTAGTGACAATGGTTCGAGGTTGCAGCAAGTCTCCACCGTCGTGTGCTAAGTGAGATGCGGTTGCCCGGGTAAACAGATGAAGGAAGCCCGCAAATATATCGTACTTGCTGTCTACGAGCTGGGTAGCTTGGTCAGGGTCCGGAGCAATTACACGGAAATACACATTGCAGTTGAATTGCAGCTGCAACGCCCCACATAAATCAATGCAACTGAAGGCTTCCAAAACCCCTGCAATTCAACCTGGCCCTCTGCAACGTGGATCCATTATTGCAGACATTGCAGAATAGTGGGTCCTTCTTAGCAGGTGATAGTGATTAATAGTAATTTGTATGGTGAACACTAACATGAAGCGGTCAGGGCATCGGCAGAACTCCCACCGCCCTAATCCCAGTCAATTCGCAGCTCAAGCTCTGACGAGCTCGGCATTCTGGCCTACCTGCCACCATAATGGCTACAGAAGCATCTGCTGCCGTCGCCGCGGTTCCTACACGTACTGAAGAAGACCTGGCCTTTCTCTTCAAGCGATTTCCCGGCTACCTATTCACTGAACGCAAGGGGCCAGCGTGGTCGTGGGTATGGAAGGTACGAGGAGGATCCCCGTGCCTACTGGCACAAGAGAAGGAACACCTACCCACGGCTTGCGCGCATGGCGTTGGATCTACACACGGTGCTTCCTATGAGCGCCGAAGTTGAGCGCTTGTTCAGCGTTACTGGCCATATGGTTACTCCTTTACGCAACCGGCTACAGGCGAACACAATATCTCTCTGTCAGATCCTCCGCAGCTGGTACGATGCCGGCGTGATTGATGATCTCGATCCAATACTGTCATGGAAGACACACGGACACATGGAAGATGATTGATGATAGCTAGGGTTAGGGATTTGTATGGAAATTTGGACCCACTTCTCCCATTTTGGGTTAGGTTATTGCCCCACAACGGGGCCCACAGTTCGGCCCCACCAATTTCAACATGTTGCATCCATTTCAACGAGTGCCTTCCGTGGATCAATTCAATGTGGCTTCGCTTACGTAAGGTGCAATTACACTGCAACGGGCTGGTGACATTGATGGGAGTGTAATTGATCCGGACCCTGAGCTTGGTTCAATGGCGAGGGTCACAAAGCCCTCTGTTCGGGGTGTCGGACACGGAGGAGCATAGGAGAAGTTTGTCTAAATAAGTAGCAAACACGTGTCGATTCAATTTAGAAAAGATGGACATGAGGCGGATATAGGGCCGTGCCATTGGCGGAGTGGGAACCGACGATCCGCGCTCGTTTGATTCACTGCATGGGCTTTCTCTACAGTCATCACCCTGCCGCCGAACGATCCATATTCATGTCCCCAGATTCTACTCGCCGTCCCGTGTGTGCCACCAGCAGCTAGAGTGGTGAAGTGAACTGACCCAGGTTCCACAGGAACACCCGTTACATTGGTCTAACTCGTTGTTCCAAAGCTCGGAGCAATCCTGCTTGCGAAGCTTGTACCAGCTGGGTCTGTTTGATTAGGTGTTCGGTGCTAAGTCCGAAGCACATGGGGTGGGAGAGCCGTCCTCCTTGCGGATAATTCTAGCAGCGACTAAAATATACCGCTGTCTCGCTGCACTCCAGATACGCAAGGTTCGTACGTGCGTTCCGGCAGATATTCGGTGGTCTCGAATTGTCCACTTGCCGAGGTAGGCGTCGTGCCCCTTCTTGCATTTGATGATCTTCATCTCTCTATTTCTGTTCCCGAAGGTTAAGTTCTTCTTGAGGCGGTAGTAACCTAAGCTTTGCAAGGCCGGTGTTGGTAACCGTTCGATGGGCCGTGGTGATAATGTAAAAGATGTTGTTACGATGTCGTTTGATCTTGCTGTACAAGTCCTTGTGTCGTCTTGATCAATCGTTTCGACGGTCTGTGTCGTGCAGCAGCTCTGACCGTCGTCGTAGACATTCAGTTGTTTGCTCAAGGTGTGACGAACCTACTTCAGGACCCTGTCCTGTTAGGGTTCAGCTTCGGTTGAAGGTAATCTCTTCGAGGGTGCTTAGGTTCGGTGCAGCCAAAGGGTGCACAACAAAGACTTGTCTCAACAGTAGGCTTTCGAGCTTGTAGCGAACTGTAGTTGTGATTGCTAACTGGAGAACTCCCAGAGCTCTCCAGAACGGGTGACTATATACTATCTGGGCTTCCTAGGTACCGGCGTACCTTTTGCTGGGAACGTGAGGAACGGTGATCGTTCCTCTCGTTCCAGACTGGATCCTGGGAACGGTAGCCGTTCCCTTCGTTCCTCTGCTGATTGGTCTGAGACCCATTCTTAATGATTGGCTGGGAACGCTTCCCGCGCGTGCCCCCATCGGGGCGTGGTACGCGACCATAACCGTGACACAAGGTCCCCACAGACTCTGTTGAGTTGTTGTCATTGCTCGCTAATGAATTTGTAATGTATATTTAAAGATGGGATGAGAAAGAGATATAAAAATTAAGGAGGTCCTAGAGCGGCGCATTCGCGAGTTCCGCACGACACCAAATGCGCCGCCCTGGGTCCACGTATACGCCGTTCTGAGAGCGGCGTTTGTGTGGAGGGCGTATGTGGGGCCGAGACGGCGCCAGGCAAGCTGTGACTTGTTCATGTTTGCCAGCATTGGCATGTCCATATCAACTTGGAATGAAGTTGAGACCTGTGTCAGGCGGGACCAAAGGCAGTCGATGCGGGCAACTTTGCTGAAAATGTGATGGCCGAAAGAGAGATTTAGTTCGGCGTTCTTTGGGCGGCCTAATGCCATGGGAAAGAGCGTCAGCAGGACGTAATTCACGGCGCTGCAAAAGACTCCGATCGGCATCCCGTCTTTCTCAAGAGTGCCGGGTTCGGGCCGTGTGGTATGTGAGAGTATTTGTCGTGCGAGGTTCACTTGGAAAAGCGATGAATGATTTGGCATTTGGGCATCAAGAATGAGTGGGACGTGGATTCTGCAGGGAAGCAGATGCACTTCACGTGTCAGTGCCACAGTTACGGCGGCGGGAACGCGACTAACAGCGAGGTTGGGACCGGGAAGACAGCGCTATAGACACTCCTAGAGGTGCTCAACGCACAGCGAAACGAGATGCGCGATACAATCATTGTACAGATGTCCCTACCAAAAGAATTGGCTCACCGCCCGTTAAACTGTTTGTGCCTATGGGGTTTTTTCTGCCAAGCAGAACCACTAAAATCCGGAAGGCGGTGAGCCAATTCTTTTGGTAGGGACTTCCGTAGTCGTGTCCCTGTGCCATGTCGAAGAACAGAGGGAAAACGCCACGGCGGAGATAGCGTAAAATATGATTGAACAGGGTAGGGTCGGCGTTGATGAAATATGATCCGTCCTCGAGAACGTTATCCCACCGTGGTCGTCACCGATTGAAGTTGACATGATCTCCGGAGTCAAGTGCCACTACACAGCGAGTGTTACAAGGGCTGGTATTCCAGGGCTTGAACAATCAGCTGCCGGGGGAACCGGCAAAACCAAATGTATTAATAAGAATAATCTTCAATGGCCTCGAGAAGTCCATTAAGAGAGAAAGAGAAGTTCTGGAGCTATCTGACATTCTGAGTCTTTCATACATGAAGGGTTTCGATGAGAAGATGACGTGTTGGAAGGTAGACCAAGAGGTCCGAGCACATGAGGGTCAAGGCCCAGAACGTGGCAAGATATCGGTCGGCCTAGGCCGGAGAGATCACTCGGCTTAGGCCAGGTGCGGTTGCATGCGGCGCCACCCTCGCTGCTCAGAGAGAGATATCACGGGGTTGGAACCCTACTTACAGAGGGAAGAGGAGGACAAGGACAATTGGCAGAGTCTCATAGCCTCCTAGGCTCGGCCGTGTGAATTCCCATCTTCCGATGAGTGGCCATTGATCTCTAAAAAACGATTGATGATGGTTGCGTCCACGTGGTGATCCGTGTGACAGCGAGGGAAAGACAGTTCAAAAAGAAACCCGTGGGTTGGAAGTGGTGATCAGCGGCGAGGCTGCTGGACCCGAACTTCAATGTTGCACTCTCAGGCCGGCGCATCACGGCTCCTATCGCTGAATAGATGAAGCTGATCGGATATCAGCTTGAACTTTGGATAAGCTCGGCTATACCTTCGTTCTCGGTCCTGCGAGGGTCGCTCCCCCAACGCTCGCGGGCGCACATCCCTAAAACCCCGCATGACCGGCTTCTCGAGGTGCGAGACACAATCAAGTGGGCGATCGAGAACCAGCCGCTCAGGTTTAAGTCCTTGCGCCGGAATCGCGTTGCCGACGAAGCGGGATACGACATTGTCTCCTCTTCAACTTCCAAGCTCATACAACCACGACGCTGAAGAGTCCCGCGTCGTCACAAGCCTCATACTCGAGCCACGACTCATTCCGCACCTTCGCAAGCGCGGAGTAATCCTTGTTCGGGACCCCCAGCCCCAAGCACCCTACCATGACGCCTATTCTGTAGAACCAACCCCTCTTGTGTCCGGTAGCATGTAGCAACAGGCAGCAGATGCTCGCGGGTTGATCCTCCAGCGTGTCTCCCACGATCGGCAGGGCATGGACCCGATCTGTGACAGCTGCCGGAAGGTCGCTGTCAAGATTAATGAAGACGGCGGTGTCCTGCCAGGCGCCGTTCGCAAAGACATTCCAGTGACGACCTTGCCTGTCTATCCTGCTTAGCTGCAGGGTTATCAGCCAACCGGACAGACGGAGAAAACCGCTGACGATGCCGACGGTGGCGTCCTCTGTCCGTGTCTCGATGTGACAGTCCCGTGTGCTCGCTACCCGCTTCCACCGGCTGCCTTCTCTCCCGTGCCAGCTCCACGCAATGCCCCCGTCCATGCTGGCCCAGGACCATGTGGGTGCGCGGTATGCGCAGGGCGGATATCGTGGTTCTGAAGTGTTACCGGCCCACAGGAGTTGGTCTTCCAGATCGTGATCCCAGAGCCCGGCGCGGTAATCGACCTTGAAGGCTTGCTGAATCAGCTTGGCGCATCCGGATATTGCCACTAATTTGTCGCTCGCGTACGTGAGGCCGCATATTGAGTAGTACTGAACGATTTGTGGCCATGCATACCACATCATGTCATGCAGAGCGACGGCGCCGTTGCCGTCTGCCGTCGCAGCACCGCCATCTGCGTGGTCCGGCAAGCTCCTGAAAGCCTTCCAGATCAAGCCTCTCGGTACCCAGGGGTCGCGCATCCTCGGTGGCAAGCCCGATGGATACGTTTCCGACGCGGTCAGCTCGAAACATTCCCAGAACATCTCTGTCGGGCAAAAGTGCAGTACTCGGGAAGCCAGCAAGAGCTCCTGCACGACCCAGCCGCGCCTCAGCAGCGGCATGTCCTGAAATGCAACGTCCCGATATCGATGGTCGTAGAGAAGATACCGACCATTTGGAAACCCGGGTTTCTCGAGCTCGACAACGCAAGGCTCGACTGCTGGCTGGCCCTCAAGAGGATAGCAACCTGGCGTCGGCGTCGGCCCCTGACGTTGCGGCTATGTTGAAAAAAGCGGCGCCATAGACGTCGATCATGCGGGGCGCTTCTCGCAGCCAGTTCCGTCCTTCGAATCTTGGATGATGCATAACGAGTCTATCCAGATGAAGGAAACGCCCAGGGAGCGGGCGATATGGATGGCATCGCGGAACGTTCCGGTCCAGGTCTGAGACCGGGATGCCGTGTAGAAGGCTTCGTTTTGACTCTGTGGTGGAGCCTCAAGCCGTGGAACCGGCCCCAGCAATGGCTCAAAGTCGCATATTGGATGCTGGCTCCCGGTGTTGCTGCGGTCTCTACCATCCGTATCTCGTCGAAGCATGGCCTGTCGATTTCTAGCAATCGAGTCGGGAGCGGTCTGGTCGATCCCGAAGACTGCGCTGGGCATCGCTCGTGCTGGTCCAGACAAGTCTTGAGCCATTCCCGAGCCACATTCATATCAAAGGGAGCGCGTGCTCGAGTGGCATGAGGATCGCGGCATTGGTGGCTCCCGCTCCCTGTGTCTTACAAGAAGGTGTAAGTAACAAGTTATTCATAATACTTCGAACGAGCCTTCGAGAGGTGTTATCGGCGAAAGCAGCATCAAATGAATATTAGGGGTACCTCTCAGAGGTAGCAGTCCAAACGCACGACAGCCGCCACCGGATTTAAGACCAGCCTCGTTGAAGGAGATTGTCAACTCTAGCAACCCCGGCAACAGCGGCAGCTGGCGGTCATTCTCCAATCTGTACTTCGATACCGGGTACCGCGCTGCATCTTCCTCGTTCGGCGTAACCCCATTCGCAGTCGTGCCACTCCCAGGTCGGCGCCGGGCTTCGCATGTCGTCCCATACGGCATTGCAAATAAAGCATTGGCTGCCAGCTGAATGTTGAAGCTCGGCGAGGGTCTGATGGTGCGTCCTCTCTTTTTGGTCAGAGGAGTCCAATATCCCCTGGCAGGCTGGGCAAGACGGGTACATGATGACACACGAGCCGGTGGAAAAGACGATAGCTCGAATTCGAATTCCAGAAACGGCGGTGAAGGCATAGACTGTTCAACGAAGTCAAGCTGAGGGGGGTGGGCACAGAGGTCCTCTATGAGATACGCAAGCCCGGGCAAATTGCACGGGAGGAGGACAAGGGAACTTACCTGGGCAGGCAGGCTTGGGCAAAAGGAGGCAGACCTCGCAGGCAAAAAAGGGGGGAAGGGGGGGGGGGGGGTGGACGAGAGGTGAGATATCGCCAGCGCTGCTCAAAGATCAGATTGTAGATCAGATCTATCAATCCAGAGCAGTCCAGTCGATTCAGATCGGCCATTTCTTCAGATCAGTCGGATCAGATGAGCACCTTACAAATCTGATAATCTGATTGTTATCTATACCATACTTTTGGCCCTTGGTCAAGGCACCGAATCCCTTCATTTTGAGTGTTAATTATAGAGAGGTGGATGAATGTGTCGGGTATTACTTTTTCCGGGCCAGAACAAGCCCTGTCTAGCGCTAAATTGCGGATTCCGCGCGTCGCTCTGTCCACTGTTTGTACGCGCGCGCGTGTGTGTGACGACCACTGAGGCTGATCCGATTCGCCAGTTAAAGTTAACCCAACCTCGCAATGTCGACTGCTGCACAGAGCAGCTACGCAGCCTCTACTGCAGACAATGCCAACAACGTTGCAGCAGTCTTCCTCCCCCGCCCTCGATCTCGACTGCGCACCATCGCGAAGCAGTACGACGAAGCTGCGCAGCAAACCGTCACACATACCGACGAGCCATACAAGATCGTTTGGGGGAGCCGAACTTTCGTCATTAGCGGTGTTCTAAACAAGAAGAAGAGCCGTGGCCGTCGTTTCCTGGATTACTCGTGAGGGTTGGTTCCTTAACGGAGCTGACGACAACAGGGAAAGGTCAAGCAGGATGTCTGGTGCTGTCGACGCTGCGATGCCTACGGCAAGGCCCCAGTTTTTCAGCGCTCAATCAACCTCGGCCTCGCAGGGACACCTTCTAAGGCTAGCATAGCCCTTGCCGGTTGTTCTAATCACGTTGCTAACGGTTACAGGTCCCACAACATCGCCGAGGACAGCCCCAGCCGGCCAGACAACGAGATGACCGTTCCTTGACATTCCAGCGAGAGGCTAGCAACCGATCGACCCCTTTCCAGCATTCCACAAGCGAAGATCAGTCGGGCTCCGGGAGCTTCTAGTAGGCTATATTGGTCGACGGCGACTTGCCCTTTACTGCTCTTGAGAGCGTCTACATCAAGGAGCTCTTAAAGCAGCTAGACCCTGGATTCGCCCAAGAGCTCCCTCACAGTAGATCGACAATTGGAAGGGATATCAAGGAGGTTTTTGAGTCGAAGATGATGGCGGTCAAGGCTGACCTGACGAAAGCCCTCAGTCAGATTCATATTAGCTTCGACCTTTGGACCTCTCCAAACAACCTAGCCATGATTTCAGTCTTTGGGCACTTCATCAATCAGAAGAAAATGCCCCAGAGCAGGTTGCTAGCCTTCCGTCGGCAGCTAGGGAAGCATTCTGGGAATTACATCGCGCTCACGATCCAGGATATTCTCAAGGCTTGGGGAATTGGGAAGCAGGTGGGTGTCTGCGTCGCCGACAATGCAGGGAACAACGACACATGCCTCAAGGCCCATATATCGATCCCTCGATCCCACCATAACCGACCGAGATATCAAGGCGCGTCGAATGCGATGCTTCGGTCATGTCCTCAATCTTGTTGTTCAGGCTTTCCTTTTTGGCCAGGATGCTACCTGCTTCGAGAGGGATGCTTATACCCTTTCCCTTTGGAGTGACGACGAGGCTGAACTAGCACATTGGAGAGCAAAGGGACCTGTTGGAAAGCTTCACAATATCGTCAAGTTCATCAGGGCGTCGCCGCAACGATCCGAGGCATTCCGACAGCATGCTAAGGAAGCCCAGACCTCTGACGACTATCTGTTGTCAGAGGAGCCGACCTGGGACCTTGGCCTCAAGCAGGACAACAGCACGCGCTGGAACTCAACTTACCTGATGATCGAGAGGGCTGTCAGGAAGAGGGATGATATCAACAGCTTTATCTTGGAGCTTGATCTTGAATCTGATGGTGACAAGCGGATCCCTGATGCTGACAAACTAACCACCGACGACTGGAAGGCCCTGATCGAGATCAGACGATCTTAGAACCACTCTACAAACTGACGATAAAGACTCAGGATGGGGGCAGTCTGGAACAAGTGGTTCGACTTTCGATGTCTATGGGGATGATATGTATTGGGACATCTGAAGGTTACAGACTCTATACGACAAGGATTCCGGTCTTGAAGCTGCTCGAGCAGCTGAAGCTTCGGCGGATCTAGCGCGTAATCAACCAACCAGTCTATCGCAGCTTCGATCGACGCGGCGGCTGCGCTTCAACGAAGGGGCCCTGCCTTCTCATGCCCGCGACGAGTACGTCACGATGCCCGACAGCGACGGTCTGCTTAGACTCCAAGCTAGAGAGCGGGCCAGCATTCGGGCCAGTATCAACAATGCCTGGAAGAAACTTGACGAGTACTACACGAAGCTTGCGGATTCCCCTTTGTTCACTGCAGCTATCATTCTGAATCCAAATCTCGGCCTTCGGTGGCTGCGGCGTCGGTGGAGGGATCCCGAACAACATGAGTGGCTCGTTGCTGCGAAAGATGGTCTCAAGGAATACTTTGACCGCTGGTATTGCAGCTCTGATGATCCCCAGCCTCAGGGTCGATCTGTCTGTCGAGATTTAGGCCGGGAGGACGATGCTTACGAGGCCTTCGTCAACAGCGGAGTCAGTTCCGATGAAGATGGTAACGAGGACGAGATTGACCGGTACTACAACATGAAGGTCGGGGGCAACGTCGATCCGGTTGAATGGTGGATCAGTAATAAGGCTCAGTTCCCAAAGCTGTCTCAGATGGCCCTTGACATTCTCGCTATTCCAGCCATGGCAGCTGACTGCGAGAGGTCCTTCAGCATTGCTAGGCTTACTCTGAGCTCCCAGAGGCATGCAATGAAGTGGGAGACTATCGAGATGCTTCAGATGCTGAAGAACTGGCTTAGGAACGGCGATATCGTCATCGGAGGAGTCATGAAGGGCAGCAGGCCGGATTGGGGATCGATTAAGGGGCAGCAGGGTTACGAATAGCTGCATTTGTATGTCAGTTCAGTCCAGTTCAATCCAGTCCAGTCCAGTCCAAGGGTCGAGGGAATCAATCCGATCAGATCAGGAGGGTCTGTCTGATCTGACTGATCTGAGAGCAGCGCTGGATATCGCTGATGGGGAGAGACCAAGCGGGTGTTAGGTGATTCCAAAAGGGAGGGAAAGCTCGAGGCCAAAAACTAGAGTCAAGCCAAAAGTTGCGATGTGCGAGATGCACCGTAAAGGCCGAGAATGTCTCGATTGGCGGCGCAACAGCGGGCGGCTAGGGGACGCCAAAGAGGGCAAAGACGAGATATCCGGCCTGGCGAAACAGGTATCGGAGCGCGAGCGACATGGGCTGGCAAGCTGCAGAATAAAGGGGGTAAGGGAAAGCAAAGGAGATGAGGAGATAGGGACCGAGCGAAGGCGATGAGGGGGGGAGGGAAAGTCGAGAGTACAAGAAAGGGACGTTGGACAGGAGGGGCTCTATTTATGCGGCGCGGCGGGACCGTGCGAGGACGCGAATCTGACGCAGCGCCATACCCGATTCGGAAGGCCGCCGTTCCCGGATGCAGCGACAGCATGTTCTACATTACAGCATGAATCGGTGTATTAGAGTACATTGAGAGCATAATGATACATTTATAGTACGGTGCCAGTCCATTCGCCGTTGGAAAGGCAGTCAAATACGAATAGAGGAGAGGCCGGAGCCCCGCCGGCTACCCCGGGCACCACGTTGCGAAGGAGTACCGCGAGTAACAGGCTCACCACGGCCAGCGGACTCGGTAGGAGCTGCCGAGTCATTCTCTCCAGTGCGCTGCCCTTGGCGGCTTTGTGAACGAGTCGACATGCGTGCCAGCTGCCGCTGCGGCTGCTGCGTCGAGGTTCTAGCAGTCAGGGAAGAGGGAGGCCGAATGCCAGCGAAAGATGGCGCCCTGTCGGTGCTAGCACCAGGCAAGCTGCTAGGCGGAATAGTAGGGGGTGCTATGCTGGCAACGCACCTGGGAGGTGCGGTAAAACCCGGAGGCCTAGTGCCGGTAGGCTGAATGGTGGGTGTGGGTAGTTCGGCGGGAGGGTGGTTGCCAGTGCTCTTAGGTTGTTGGACGCTCAGAGGTGTGTCAACAGCTAGCTGAATGATGGGAATACGGAGGCTTCATTGCGAAACTGGGCGAAAACCCAGATTTTCAATAGATCCACCCCGCCCGTCAGATTTCAGCCTCACCCACCAATTCCATATGCCCACTTTGCAATCGCTTTTCTACAACTCCCACTTTTTATTCCACAAACCACCATCTTCACCTACCCCGGTCTCTCTCGCGCGCTTTCCGAGCCCAATGACACCCGTTCAAGCCCGGTGGTGCGTTTCTCGCTGCGCTTATGGCAAGCTGGTTTCTTGGATACTAACAATTCATTGGTCTTGTATTTGTCGATCGCACCTCCCAATCAGAAACCCGAAGTTTCATGGCCATGACTCAATTCTGCTAATTGTAAGATGGGGAGAAAGGAGGAGAAGCTGGAAGAGCTCTCGCGGTGCAGAGGCGAAATGCAAGAGCAGGTGGTGCGTGCACTCAGTGACCCGTGCTGCCACATGCACTCCGACGGCAAGCGCCGTCACATTTCTTCCCTCCAAAGAAGACTTGTCCTCGAGGGTTGCAACTTTCTTCTAATCCCTTTTCCTGCCAAAGATAGGCTCCACATCGGCGTCGGCGAGGTACTCCCTACCCGGTACAGGAGTGATTGTGTTGGAACTGATGGCACCGATTTCCATGGGGTCCGCAGCCCTGCTACAGTCGCTTGCAGAACCGGTTTCACCCCCAACGCACTGAAGCAGATTCTGAGCGCGGACTACAGATCCAGTTCTGGCGCTGACACAGTGCGAGCCAGTCGGTTTGCAAAATAAGACATGACCAATTTATTAATTTGCAGCCGAAAATGGCTGCGGAAATCCGGTCACATGGGAAAGGATAATGGGACTTGACTCGATTTCAAGTCTTTTGACTAGTCAGAAATAAACCCATCTGGTGTACTCCGGTATTGCCACATTCGGGCCGGTCAAACTTACAATTCGCGCGGGCCGGTGTATATTGTAGGTCGGCCTACCTGAGCGCTTTTCTCTGCATTTTAATTGAAACGCACCTCACCGAACGGGAATCTGCGTCAATGAACGGGAACGTGCCTAGCTGCGCAAAATGAGGGACTATTAGACCGAATTTTGCCCAACCACACTCGATCAAGTCTTTGCACCTTCACACAAATCCCTTTCCTCTCCCTCCGATCATCTTAGCCCAACGCCATGGGGCGCCCACGGAAGGAACTCTCTCCTATCCGCGATGTCATTCTCACGGCCTTTCAAAGTAACGTTGGTGTAGACGAGATTTGCGCCCTGCTCGCCAATGACTACGATATCAATGTGTCTCGTCGTACTTTGAACGTCCGCCTCCGAGAGTGGAAGGAACCACCTCACCAACAACGGACCCAACCTACGTCAGAGCTCAAAGACCTCGGGCACAGCCCGTTACAATGAGCGCTGGTGCATTGTTAGCGTTTTAGATTCTTGAAGGTGCTCTTCTCAAAAATGTAAGTGGCGATTGCCACAGCACGGGTCTGGTTGTCGAGTTTCGCTCGTGGCGTCTGCTCTGTGACAGAGCCTCTGTCCCTCGGTGGTGCCGCTGTCGTAGGCGCGCTCCGTCAGCTCCAGCGGCTTCGACTACCAGGTGGACGAACTGAGCTCAAAAGCCATGATTGTGAAAAACCAAAGTTGCTTTAGGAGGTTGGCACGACTGGAATAATGCGTGGAAACGTTGGTGGAGGGGATGTAAGTAGAGACGAGCGCGCTTGGAATTTGGAAGCGGGCTTGAACGGGTGTGATTGAGCTCAGAAGCGCGTAAGGGAGAAGAAGTGGCGGTGGCTGAAAAAAAACTCGCTTTGTTGCAGAATGTATTTACTGGATGGGGAAATGCAAATATGCTAGCTGGCTAAAATTGCCCGGGCGTGAACCGAATGATGGAATTTGGGTTTTCGCCCAGTTTCGCAATGAAGCCTCCGTAATGGGAGGGTGGAAAGTGGGGCCCTGGGAACCATCGCTGTTCAAACCATCGCTGTTCAAACCACCAAAAGAAGGGCCACGAAACATGGAGTAGTCTAATGGCGGCAGCGAGTTGAGACGCTCGGTAGGCTCGAGAGGTCTGGAGATATGTGCCGGACTAGTAGGGCGAGAGGGCGGCGGGTAAATGATTCCGCGATGCTGCCAGCTGCCTGTGCCTCTTTGTCCCACTGCAATTGTGCATCGCGCCACCTGGCGAGAGCTGCCACCTCTCACCTCCCCCAGTGAATTCGGCCATCGCTCCCACCCAACTCAGCCCATTGCCACCACTCCCAGCCATCGCTATTCAAAACAACAAGAAAGCGTTGCCATCACCATTGGTGCGAAAAGACCTTAGTTACCGAGCGAAGAACCAGCCAATTAAGCCCCCAAGATCGCGCCGTGGCGTAGCCGCGGTAATAGCGATCTGGGGCGAGATTGACGGTTCGAAGCCCATCCGCCGTGGCTCCTGGGTGATTTCTCTGCTCGTGTGCTTGCTCCACGTGCATCGGGCTATTTTATACACAGGCGGAGAGCGAGACGGGAAAGGACCCAGTCGACCTGATTGTCGAGACCACGGCTGCAATTGCGAAGAGTACGACCGTCCTGATGGGCAAGCAGATTTCACCCGACGATCGGAAAGACATGGACCGAATCATCTACCGCGCACGCCATCTCTTCAACCAACTCTGTCTCTTCGCCGCGGTAACTGCCACCGGATCCACCGCTGGTTCTCTCACAGGTACGCCGGGGCCACAGCCCGCGGTAGATGCTGTCGCTGACACACTGGACAATACCGGGTCTGGTCGGTCATTACAGTACATGAACGACACCTCCGTCCGAATATTCATGTCGCCACGCATTTTCCAGCCTTCGCCGAAGAGTATGCGTCACCAGTTAACTGCAATACCCTGACAGGGGAGAACCTCCACAGGTAAGTGTCGCTTGGCTGTCTGCCCTCCCCACCTATCCGCCGACAATCGACACTTTTCTTTACGCCTTTAGTTACAACACTTTAGCGTTTAACGGTTGACTAACAATGACGTATGTATTTCAAAACTCGCGTCTACGAGACGAACTATTCCAACGCCGAGAAGGTCCTTTTGATGAAGGTCAACTTTAGGAAACGATTCGCTTGGTGTTGCGCAACGCATTCAAGCATGATGATCTAGAATTGACAGCCGAGATGCTGGACTTATACCAGAGATGCCCGAATTTGTTCAGCAAAATTCTCTCGCGAGCCGACCGTAACGGGTTGGAAGCTTTACAGGAAGCCGAAGAGCATGAAATCGACGTAGATCAGTCGGCCGACGCGACACATTTGGCGCCGTCCGCGATCAACCGCATTCCAACCGAAAATGTTGCGACGCATCCGGCCAACGAAGGCAAACGACTTCCATTACGTTCGACTGATGCAACACCAACTTGGCGCCGGTTGATCCGGTTGGCTTACGAGCACGACTACGGCAAAGCCCGACAATTCCCATCCTTCTTCGAGAACCGAGCTGTCCAGTGGTCTCGGAAGTTCGGCTTTACGGACAGGTACGTCATTTCTTATTACTTATTGGCGATCCGGGACCGAGAGACGCGAGGCCGTGGTCGGACTCATAAGGTGGCTTTGGATTATTGGCAACTGGCCTGATCCATTTGCGCAACGCTCGCACACAAGTATGGGATAAAGGTTTTGGCGGCCGAGTTCGTGATCGGCAAGTGAAACTGGCCTTGGTGTTGAGAAATTGTGGGCTATACTTGTCACTCGAAGCTCTACGATGTTCCACTCGGCACCCTGACAGTTGGCAGCGCTAATAGGCAACTTGCCGTGAACAGGGACTCAAACGAGCGGTTTACCTTCAGAGCTGGCGACTATGTACAGTTTACCCGCGACGGAGGTGTCCAATTCGGCCGGGTCGACCACATCTTCGTACTCGATAACTTTGCCGACCGACATATCTTCGTGGTGTTGATCCCAGTAAGGCGAACCGAGACTCGGCATCATATACTGCACTTGGAGATTATGGAAGAGATGGAAGGACAGGCTGTCATTGTCGGGGTCACTGCGGTCTCTCCTGTTGACTTGTACATGGTTCGGGTAGAAGGGGTTGGGACTATCTGGGTCCACTGGGACGTCCATACGATGTAATGGTAATTCGATCGTACCACCTATAGTTATTTCGTAATATGTATTCGTATTTTCAGTGCACGATGTACCCAAGTACCGAGGTACCGGGGAGGAACGCGGCCAGGGGTTTAAAACAACTTCCACTAATACTCGTCTGAATGAATGCAGCAGTCAGAAACCGAGGCGCCCCCCTCTCATTCCAACCCTCTAAACCAAGGGCGGCTTGTTGATGGGTAGCCAATCGCCAGCATTGCACCTCCCGCTGCAGGCTGCAGCTTTCAGAAATCGGAGACAGACAACCAATGGTTGAGGCAAGTTGTACCTTCAGCCTCAGCCTGCGTTATGCTGGCCCGTGATGGCGCCGCGCATCTGGACTAGTGCAGTCGCACAGCGCTCATGGTGGGTGACGGAGCAAGTGCTCTGTATTACCTCCATTGCCAACCCGGTCACTGAATATCATCTTTACAACTGTCTCCTCCATGGTCCCGTCCTTCTATCCCGCAACCTCTCACCACGCTCACCATTCTCATTACCACGCTACCCAGTTGCCCACAACTCTATGAGCGATGGATTGGTCAACATCTTCCTCGTTATCCACGTTTGTTCAGCTCTACCTATCCAAAGGCCCGAACACTCTGGGCCATACCCCTACCTGCGGGATGTGCGCCTTGCACCCGCTCTTACCCTGTAAACTTTTCCCTGTACGATAACCACGTATAGGATAAAGATCGCGCTGGAGACCGGCTGAATTTGATTGTAGTACAGTGGCCAGCTTTGCTCCCTCGGCGAAAAAAAGGACTTTCTCGACCCTCCTTACTATGATGCGTCCTTCACAACCCTGGATCAGGGCTTAGATGTCCTCGCTTCTCTGTTGGAAATCTTTCAGGATATTTTCATGGACTCAGAACCCGACGGTAGTATAACTCCAGGGATGTTCGTTGGGTTCGACCCTGTAGAAGACCAAATCGAGGAGGGAGAACCTCCTGAAGATGCTTCCGCGGACCCAGGAGGACCATCGTCCGCGGTTGTTGTCCTTCTGCTAGCATCTGTGGCCATCGGCCTAGCCATCCTGGCCCTTTTAGGTATTGCGCACCCCCACCTCACAATCCGTGAAGTAAAATCTCATCTAACCAATCCTAGCCTTTCGCGACGGCATCGACAGCCATCAGTTTGGCACCATCCTCTCGACATACTCAACTTTGGCGGGTCCTTTGGCGAAAAGCTATTTTCTCTTCCAGACTTTCTTTCTCTACGCTGTCTTCGGCACAGGAAGCCCCGACGTGGCACACCCTGGTTCGCCAACTCCCCAAACCCAACTTTCATCCCCCGGAAGCAGTGGTGAGCCTCACGAGGTTGCCGTCAATCAACTCAACGCAGAGTCAAGCACTCCAAGGAAAGAACATGGAAGCTTCCACCAAAGTTTATCGTCCTCGACACCATCCGTGGAGGCGGAGACATGGTCCGTTGCCCCATCCTTGAAAAGCCCCGGACCCCGCGGCCTCTAACAACACATCACACTAACCCCCAAGAACCGAAAGCAGTTCCTCCTCACCACCCGCTACGCACCCGCCACCAGCCCCCGTCTCTCTTGTCCCGATTGTTCCAAGACATTTCGTACCTTCAGTGCTCGAAACCAGCACCTCAAGACCAGGTGCAAGAAACGTCAGGGCGAGCGGTTCTCGTGCACGATTGCAAACTGCGGACGGTCGTTCAGCACGTCTTTCAACCGGAGGATGCATGAGCTAAATAGCTGCCGGTGGAGGGGTGTTGTGTAGGCTCCTGGTTGGGGTTGGTGAGTGTTTTTTTATTGCCTTGTCGATCTCAGTTCGCGGTGCCATTGTCAGGTTTTATAGACTTCATTTGTGTCCGGAAGTGGAAGATTATTGTCCCAAAATCACGAGTCAATACTGCGTTGTAGGTGCACGAGAAGCTGAGCTCCGGCATCATGGCTTATCGGCCTTGAATTATTACACCTCCCTGACGGATAAAGCATGGTTAAGTAATCTGGGCTGCCTCCCCCCTTGCCCTGTTTGCCGGCTTTATGCCTTCGTTTCCAGCAGTCGGTATTCTTGACATCGCCCACGCCCTCATATGACCTGGGTTGGTTTGAGTTGCAGCACCCTCGGTTGTGGACTGGAAGCCGGGCATAGGCATGATACTGCAGCATCATCGGGGTCTTGGACTCGAGGTTAGCTCCCACGAATTCTGTGCGGTTGGACGACGGCCCGGGAGCTAGCTGGCAGTAACGCAGTTTGGGTGGTGTCTTACCTTAATCACTTCTTCTTGCAATGAGCACCGAAAATCTTGCTATTGCTCAACCCATACCCATGGCACGACCTTCCGAGATTCCCCCTATGGATTGTCAGCAGCTGTTTGTTGCAAATCACACTAGAGCAGGCCAACAGTCCGACCAAGAAACACCACCTACTCTTTCCGCGACGTCATCCTGCCATCATTGTTGGCGATGCAGTGATTCAGGTCGAGGCGCGACGAATGCCACTTGCCGTCCTTCTGCTTGCAGTCGCATAGCAGAATAGGCCCGTATTCGTTACCAGAGAGCCAGTCGTTGTTCCATTTCTCGAGGCGGCAGTTTCGGCAGCTGCTGGCGTAGCTGGCTGCTGCTTGGGTGGCGAGCGAAGCTACTGCCACAACGAGGAGGGAGATCTTCATGATGTCTGGTTGGGGAGACGGAACCTTGTGGCGTTACGCAAACAAGTGCAAGGAGAGGATGAAGAGGGGGAAGAACACAACCGGGTCTTACGGACGTCCTCGTTGATACAGTTTTACATCCTATCATCGGGATGGGGTGGCATTCTTATACTCACCATTCAGGCCCCAAGTCAACTCGGATCACGGCACAATACGAGGCAAGGCCTCTGACTTGCAGGCTGCCTCGCTCAGGCACGCCTCGTCGATGTATCGTTTACCTCGCCAAAGGTATCGGGCGGTAGTGTGCTAATGGTATGCTGAGACGTAACAGTATCCACTGAGAATATGACAGGAAGCGAACCGAGTTCGGGGAGGACCGGAAAAGCTAGATGGGGGAAGGGACGGCTCATATTGACATCCCCCGCGTCCCCGCCGGCAGAGAACGGGATTTTGCATTAAATTTACATTGGGTTTTATAGCAATGCCTCCCGATGACTGGTCGGATGCATGTGAGCAATCCTTAGAATCCTTAGACAGAGATTGGCCTCACCGCCTACGAAGACGCGGACCGGCGGTTTAGTCCCGGCGGCGGATGAAGGTGAGGTCGGCCGGCCTATGTTGTCGAAGGATTCAATAGTTGAAGGCGATGTAACCGGTAAAGCCCGTGTTTTGGTAGCGGTGTCTGGGTATTGGGGGCGAGGAATATGAGAAGTCCACTCCGTGGACGTCGCTTAGATGCATTGGGTAATGGGGTGAACGAGCCAAGACGAGGCAAGGCAGACTTGTTTGTACACGCGTCGGGGTGTAAAGTACCACGGAGTTACTCCAGAAGTTCTCTTGTATTGCAAATGGGTTGCAAGAAGCGTTTCAAAACGCATATAAGATGGCTGATGTCGCCCTTTCGGTCCAGAGAGATTGTGCCATTCGCGTCTTTCACTAAAGCATCACGCCCTGACGTACCCTCCCATCACGAAGGGCTGACACGCTCACGGGATCTCTGTCATTCTTCACCATGCAACTCTCGTCTAAATTATTCGTTGCTCTCTTTGCGGCCATCGCTGTTGCCTCACCGGTCGATGAGGATGCTCAAATCATCCAGGTATATGGCCCCTGACCCATTGATATCATATGGTAGCTGCCGCTAACATGACGGTTTTAGAAGCGAGTAAGCACACAACATCCAGACATAGCCGTTTAGAAATCATGGGCGAATTATGCTCACCAAAGCCACAGGACTGCTATTCAGACTGCATAGACGGTTGCAACGCGCCTCGGGGAGGGTCATGCAGCTTCGCTTGCACGCTGACGTGTTCCATCGACTACAGCGGCGGAAATCGATACAGTCAAACAAACTTGGGTGAGGGCTGTCCCATTTGTGTGGGGCTTTTTGCCATGTCTGAACGGGGGGTTAACGCTGTACACCTGCAGATGACTTCGTTCACAACTGGAACGGCCGTCTCGGCTGCTTTAGCCATACCGGATCTTAGATGGCATACCATACGATGACACTGCCGCGGCAATGCAAGTGGCCAACCGCTTTTAGGCCAGAGTCATTTTGGAGACATGGATACGTATGTGGTGATGCGCTCGCAGAAAGGTTTGGGTACGGCTGCGGGAGCATCAATGAGGTGGCTTCATACCAGGGGCCTGGATTTTTGGTTGCCAGTCGGCGCGGACCTTGGGGTTGCCGGATGAACACATCAAAATCAAAATACATGTTGCCATGTTTACCTCTTTTGTTAAGGACGTACAATTCATGTCGAGCGGTGAATAAGAAAAATAAAAAGTGGGTCGGGCTGTTGCTGCCTGGACTGCCTGGACTGCCACTTCCATCACAGGGTACAGGGACAGCTGTTACCTTATTTAGTGGTTGTTGGGTGGCTGGCAAATTGTTTGTTGGTAAGCCATAGCGCTTGTTAAGTTGACATTTAATGCTCAACCAGCTTTCCCGCCTTCCTTCATCTTCAGCTCTGTTTCTTCTTCTGCCTTCGCATACATATTGCAGCACACATGCATCATGGAAACAGAAATCGACATGATGGATGTTGAACACGCCGAGTCCAGCGCAGCGATACCACCCCCAAAAAACCTGTATTCGCTCCCCTTCGATATCCAGAGGCTAATTGTCTGGGATGAAGTGCTCTCACAAGACGACATCGCATCTCTACGTTTGACCTGTCGTGGGCTCGTTCTATCCACTTCCAGTCGTCTGTTTTACCGCATCGGCATCTCCAAACTGCACTCCGACCGCCAGAGCTTCCTCGCCATCTGCCACGACCCAGATTTGGCCAAACATGTCCACGAAGTCGAGTGGTTGGAACTCCCGTGGGATCTTGGCTATTTCGATCGCCTCAGCGCCGTTTTTTCGTGGGATGAGAAAGAAGACGACGACGACCTTGTAAACCTTTGCAGCTACTTTCAAGACCAAGCCGAAGAAGCATTCTGGTTGCCCAGCATTCCCGCCAATGACAACCCTACATACGGCGACGCTCGGCGACAGCGCGAGGAATCCATCGAGAACTTCAGGGAAATATTTATGGAGGCGGTCGACCGGCTTCCCAATCTTCATACCTTTGCCTCACGCCCCATGGGCTCGGAACGGACCATCAACCCGGGGGCCGACTACCCAATGGCGGCAAGCCTCTTCCAGGCGTTTCAGGACATGGCTTGCTCTCACACCAATTACGAGTCGAATGATGGGCTCTTTTTGTTCATCTTCCCTACCATGGCCCGGGCCACTTCGGCTGTCCACCGTCTGCGATGGGCTGATGAATTCCCCGGCTACAGCTACTTCCGCCCGATCCCTCCAGCTGTTTTCGAGGGGCTAGAGTCCCTGGAGCTGTGCTGGACACCCATCAATCTGAGGTCTACCGCGGTCGAGAACCTGTCCCTCCCAGCCGCCTGCTCCGCTGCTGCACCGACTCTACGCCACCTCAGCCTCTGCCTCGATCACGGCCGCCTCGAGGATTCCCCAGGCTTTGTCGAACAGAAGATCCTCGGACCTGATCTCGCGGCATCCGCCATGGTCGCCCTTCAGTCGCTGAAACTCGTCTCGATGAACCTAGATCCAGATGTGCTTCTTAACATCATCGCGGCCAACGTCACCTCACTGCGTCACGTCCACCTCGAAAACGTTGACGCCCGAACCGACGTTATTGGCCGCATGGCCAAGCTCCCAGGCCTCCGACTCGCCACATTGCGGGTTCTCAACGACTACCCGACAGAGACACCGCGGGCCATTTGCGCGCATGCCCTCGTACGCCACATCAACGGCGCCCCCTGCGACTTGTTACACACGGACTGTGGCGAGGTCATTGGCGCTGCGGTCGGCCTGGACAGTGAGCAGGCACCCCTATTCACCACGGCAGAGGACTGCGAAGGTGCGTTCGATGCCGTGAGCCTCGTCGGCTCCGCTCCTTCGGAGGCGAGCTTCGGCTCGCAACACAAATCCATCATGAGGCAGTGGTGCGGCGACAGCCCGAAATGGGCCTGGGGACGATTTTACAACGAAAAGAAGTACGGTCGCGTCTACGTGTTCCAGGTCCCCAGCACCGATCCCAGAGGCTCCCCTACAGTTCTGTGGAAGTTTACGTCGCGGGACGGGGAGGTCGGCTATGGCGATGACCCGTTCGAGTGGTTCCATGAATGGGACCTCGGTGCAGGTGACTCCGTAGAACCGACGCCTTACTGCCGGGATCTGTGGACGTTCGCAATGCTTCACAAGAGGGGGCCCATAATCAGCGATTTGTTGGGACCGGCGCACCCTTTAGTAGATCAGGTCATGAATCAGGCGCCCCCGGAGGGAGCGTTCCTTTATGACGCTGATCTCGACCCTGGGGGTGATTGGTTTTAGTCAAGGATAGGGTTCGTGCCTCCTGCCGGGCCCTAGGCTTGCTTGGACTGTTTGTTTTTTTGGTGTTGGTTGGCCTGGGGTTTCTTTCCGCTTTGGATGTCATGTGCGACGGTCTGGCGAGAGAGAAAGAATGGATCCGCTTCAAGTTGAGAGTAGCATGATTTCACACGTAGGTCTTTGCAAACGAGAGGTAGAATGCTATTGAGCCTACGAAGATCATGGAAAGAATGACGTGAAAACGGTGCTCGAGAGCGGAGATCAAAGCGAAAACAGGGAAGTGAAAAAAGACACGCTGCCAGTCGAAATGACATACGGCATCTTTCAGTCGAGTTCCTGGCTAGAGGCACATCAGAGGCATTGTCATATCCCATACATGTAGACGCATTCCATCCGTTGATTGCCGAGGATTGTTCTATCTCGGGGTAACCGTCGTGCACCATGGCTCGGGATGCAGCATGTTGTGGACGATCAGACTCGATTCGGGGAGACGTTGGAAGCAGTGTTGCGGAAGTCCCGTAAGCAGACTGTAGACGTTCGATTTACCCTGCTGGTGTTCATTCCATGTTATGGACTAAGCTGCAACTAGCTTCCGAGAATAGCATCCACTGTGAAACCGGGAAAGGGGAGAGGATATTTCAATGTTCAATCTTGATTCACGCCACCCTTCCCGTTTCAATTCCGATCATAGAAGAATTGAAAAGGTAAATAGAAAGTTGATTGCGTTCATAGATACTCATCGAGAAAAGCAAACGCCCCCTTAACGCACGTCCCCCACTCAAATAACCCGAAGCTGTAGCAAACTGACTCCCAACCACATCGCAAACCCACGCCCAAAATAAAAAGTCAAAGCCAAAGTCAAAGTCATAACCGCCCCTAAATCTCACCCCTCCCCATTACCCCCCTCCCCATCAACCCGAACCCGCCCCCACCCCCCCCTCACTTCCTAATCAACGTACTCTCCATCCACTGCGGCAACGTCTTGACAAACCCCCTTACCCGCTCAATACACCCATCCCTCTTCGCGAGATACTCGTCGAGGGCCTCGCCCTCGGCCAACACCTCAGCGACCTCCCCGCGCAGCTTCTCCACCAGCGCATCCTGCTCGCGGCGCGCCCCCTCCAGCGCGGCCTTCTCCACGCCCAGCTGTGCGATGCGCGCCTCCAGCGCGGCAATGTCCTGCGCGGCCTGGGCGGTGGTGTCGGCGAGTTGGGACTTGAGCGCGGTGGTTTCGGACTCGAGGGTGGATGCGAGGGCGGCGGTGGAGGATTGTTGGGTGGTGAGGGTGTGGAGGTCGGATTGGAGGGCGGAGGTGGTTTGTTTGAGGGTGGTGGTGGTTTGGGTGAGGGTTTGGATGGTGGTGGCGGCGGTGGCGAGTTGGGTTGTGAGGGTGTCGATCTCGGAGAGGCGGGCGGTGGTTTGGTGTTGGAGGTTGGTTTTCTCGCGCGAGACGTTGAAGAGTTGTTGGCGGAGCGAGTCGATGGTCTGTTCTTTGGCTGTGCTGGCGGTTCGGAGCTCTTCGTTGTCGCTGATGAGTTGGGTGAGTTGGGTGGCCAGTTGTTGGAGTTTGCCCTTTTGGTCTGTGAGGTCGTCCTGGAGCTGTGTCTTTTGCGCGGTGAGCTCCAGGCCGGTCTCTTGTAGCTGTTGGATCTGGCTACGCTTTGCCGCGATGGCCTGCTCCTTGTCGATGAGCATTGCGTTACGTTGCTCCAGCTCTTCTCGCTGGGCGGCAAAATCGGTTTCGAGTTTTGTCACTGCCGTGCGGAGGTTGTTGATGCCTTCCCGCAGGCCGTCGATTTCTTCCTGTTTCGTGGCCACTACGGCTTGCTTCTCTTTAAGCTCTCCTTCCAGCTGCAGGAGCCTGGTGCTCTTAGCCGCCATGTCCTTTTGCAAGATGTCCTCCCTAAGGCACTGTCTCACAAGGTTCTGTCGGAGCTGCACAACTTCGCCGTGTCTCGCCTCCAAGTTGTGTGTCATTTGCGAGATCCTGTCATGGAGCTGCGCTTCCCGCGTGGTGGCTTTGTTGACAACTTGGGTGTATTCCGCCCGCAGAGACTCTGTTTCGCCTTGTAGCCTGGTGACCGCATCTCGAAGATGGTCTCGCTCTTTCTGGAGAGTCCCGATCTGTTGCATGGCGTTCTCCGAAGCAGAATTCCACCGCAATGATTGGTTTCGGAGGTCCAATAGCGCACGTTTGTGCTCTGTGAGCTGGGCTTTCAGGGGAACCACCTCTTCCCACGCGCGAGCCGAGGAGGCTTCGAACTGCTGACGCTCTCGTCCCAGGACGGTGACTAAATCCTTATGCGCAGCCAGCTCCTTCGTGACGAGTTCCTTGTCCGCAACCGCGGCGGTCAACTGCTGCTTTTCCTGCTCCAAACTGGCAATGGCGCTACGTAGGGACCCGACGCTATTCTGTAGCGCCTCTATCTCCTTCAGCCGACCTTGTGTCTCTCCGAGCAAAGCGTCGCGCTCGCAAGTGAGGTTATTGATTGACTCCTGAGCATGGGGTGGGATGGCATGCTCAGCCTCGGCGAGCTGCTTCTTGAGGCGAAGCAAGTTGCTCTTCTGCTCCGCAAGGATCTCCTCAGAATGCGCCAGCTGTTGTTCCTTTGCCTTCAGTTTGCCCTCCGCTTGCTTCCGCTTGTTCACTGTCATGGCGATCTGCTGGACCACCTTATCGTCCGTGTCTTTGCGCCTTGCTTCCATTGCAGCGAGTTCTTTTTCGGCCACGTTCAGCTTTTTCTTCCGCCTTCGCCAACTGATCTTCCACACGCAGGCGGCCACCCTGGGGCCAAGTCCATTTGCTCCTCCATCCCAAATGCATTTTGCTTTAGAGGCGTCGAGCTTGCGTTGGAGGTCCGCAATAGTCACGTCCTTCTCGGCATTGTGCCGCTCGACTTGGGCCATGCGCTCCTTGACCTCCGCGACCGTCTTTCCGATGGGCAGCCCGGGGGCCGTCAACCGTGACGGGGTTGTTCTTTGCCTCGGACAGTGCGTGGGTAAGATGTTGGATCCTGGATTCGTGCTGCTGGATCATCTCGGTGGCAGCGGTATGACGGGTGGTGAGGTCGCGAAGCGTAGCCGTCATTGCGCCAAATCGTTGGCCGGCCTCGGCAAGTTCCTTTGCGCGGGATACGACGGCCTTCTTTAGCTGTGTAATTTCGGCGTCCTGGTTGGCGATGAGAGTGTCTTGCTGCTCGGCCTTGGCCTTGATTTCCTCCGCCTTCGCAGCGTTCGCGGTCAGGCTTTCGAGAGAGGATTCGTACTCTTGGTTCTTGCTCAGCGAGGCCTCGAGGCGCGCCTTGAGATCTTGGGCGACGGCATCGACATCTGTCTTGTCCTTTGTCATTTTTTGCAGCTGCAGTTGGAGAGGCATCGCCTGAGCCGCCAGGTCGGCCGCCCAAGAAGCTTCTTTTTCGTCCAGCAACCGCTGGAGTTCTGTTAGCTTTTCCTCCGCCTCGGCTCGTAGTTTCTTCTCGGAGGCTAATTGTTGGCGAACTTCGTCGGTCCCCGCTCGGATCGGTGCAAAGACGGCTTGCGAAGACGAGGAGGCATGGTGGAAAGGTGCGAGTCGTTTCGGATCGGGGGCGGTCGTGGGAGCTTCGAGTTTCGTGATCGGCCTCTTTTTGTCGTTCCGTGGCGGTTCGTTGCTGTCATCCTCTGAATCGCTATCAGAGAGGACGATGGCGGTTTCGGCCGTATTGTTTCTTGGCTTTCTCGGTCGACCGCGCGGCCTCTTGATGGGTTGCGCCTGCCCCCGGGAGCGACCCCCCCTTGTAGCGGGTCTCATAGGTATCGCAGATTTCTGTGATTGCATTATAAACGACGTAAGCCTGGGAGACGATTTGACGGGGGAGGCGAATTCAACAAGCAATCACCTGCGGGTGTACGGTGCAACAGGCGATTGTTGGCTGGCGTTGGGAACTTACCTTCGGAACAGTGGAAGTCCTGGATCGGGGACTTGTACGGTTGGCAACAACAATGCACGACTCCGTGCTTTCCTCCTCGGGATCGACTGCAAGAGTGGCCATGGTTGGGGAAAATGGGGAGGTGGAAAGTGTGGGCGGAAGACGGCAGAGAACCGAGAGCTGCGTTTGTTTTGTACGACGATTGAGGCTGGGCGAGGGGTTGGGAAGAATAGTGCAAGAAACGAGAAAGTTGGGAAACGGCGGCAGCGGGAGTTGAGTAAAAGGCAAAAAATCAGTGAATGATTTGGAGGAAGTGGAAGCTCTGTTGTTTGCTTCGTCTTGGTCCCAGATGGCAGAGAGAAAACTAAAGTGAATTAAAAATCGCCTGGCTGATAATGTGACAAGCCATTCGATGGAGATACCCACACCGCCGAAGGCTGAAACCACGAACAAAGAACTGAGCCTGGGAAACCTAGCCCTCGTAGCATTTTCCATGAATTGACTAGTATTAATTTCAGCGTGTGGGGGGTGCTGTTAGGTGGTTGCAGAGGAAAGGGGAAGATCCGCAGCGACCAGGGTGAGAACGCGGCGGAACATGAAATTGAAACCGGTGAACTTTCATCGGGTAGCTGCGGCGGGCATGCAGAAATCATTGCAATTCATGTTAAGGGGCACTTGCTGCCAGTAGAATCGGGCCTGGTAATTTTCTGCGGGTTCTCGGGAACCTGCCTCTTATCAAATTGATTAGAATTGATGTTGGAGTGCGCCGAAAACCGGATCTCGCTGGCTGGAATCCTCGGCCGTAAAACTTCATGATGCCGCTCCATGGGCTGTCGTAGAATTCTTGTTTTTACGTCTCTCTTCTCGGAAGCCCTTCTCCAAAGATCGGGCACCGTGTCGGGTTTTCGATCTGTTGACAAACTAGCCCGTGACGAACAACCTGAGTTTTCCGGTCACTTCCCTTCAGTCTTCAATTATGCTTCTTCCTGTTGTAGCTGATGCAACTGTTTGCTCGCTTTCCGTGATCCCTTTTTGACGAGCCAGCGACTTTCTCCCATCAGCCATGTCAAAGATGGAAGCCATGTTTCCTCATACACTCACCAACACGAGAGGAGGGAACACGGCCGCCGCGACTGCACCTGAGCAAGCAAACCAAAATCGGAGAGTTACCGTCGCAAATGAAATGAACCCCCGTCGAAGATTTGACGGGGTAGTGTTTTTGTTCCCATGGTATTGGCTCAGCCGTCACACGTCATTAGGTCTGAGATTGGTCCGATGGCGGTATGTTGTTGAAGTGGTATATTAGGTAGCTACTAGACTACATACCTAAGGTAATGTAGAGATCTCTAGAAAAGACAACCAGGCATATTTCGCAGGCTAGGGAGGTTGCATTGAAGTTGTAGTTGAAGCGGCACAAGTACCAGACTCCACGAGTCCACCCGGATTACCCAAAGCTGTATTAACGCATCTCAGGCAGCGAATAATACAAGGAGGATTGATTCATCAACGTAGAATAAATGAAAGATCTAGCATTTCCCGGTTTGTCCTTCGCCGACGGCTTCGTGGCCAGGCAGCGTATCGCTTTACCGCCGACGTCGATGTGCTGTTGATTAAAGCAGCAAGGGATGCCCCACTGTTCCTCCTAGGGGATTGGATTGACACTTTAGCCTGGGTGTTTACTTGCATAGCACGTTGTCCGGGGAAACGATGTCGTCATAGAAGTCGGACGAGGATAGGAGGGAGGACGGGCCGTGTTTTATGGGCCCGAACTCCAAAAATGACATGCCGAATGCCCTCCTTCTCCTTTCAGGTGTCTCTGGCCAAGACAATTGGGACTACCGGCCATAAGTATGTACATTGCATTCCTAGGCCTTATACTGAGCTATTTCATGGCATTTGTAACATGGCACCCGCAGTACTGTGCTCAAGACCAACACTCAGATTGGTAGCAAGCCGGTATTGTAGCTTGGGTGTTGGTGACGTCACTTACACTGCCGCCCACCCATCACGGCCGCTACATAACTTGATTGTTGGACATCGTCGATTCTCTCAAGTATCCTGTCCGGTATCCATCCGCAGTCAACGATCTAGCCCGCGGCCTAGCATAATCCATCAAAGCAAACCACACCTTCAACCCCTATTCCAATATCAGTATGTGCCCCTTTTTTCTGCCGTACTAGCTCCCGTCCACACATGCAATGTTCACAGATCCGCCTCACTTACAACGATCAAACTTCCCCCCACTACCTGATAGCTAACACCCTCTCTCCCACCAGCCCCCTCTCAACAACCCCCACCGCCAACATGGCCAGCACCACCACCAACTCCCCCAAGACCTCAGACCCCGAACAATTCATGCACACCTCCGGCGCCACCGACCCCGTCTGGATGCACAAACAGCCCTACCAAACCCTCCCCTCCTTCCCCGCGCTCACGCACAACCTAACCACCCACACGGCCATCATCGGCGCGGGCATCGCCGGCATCCACGTGGCCTACGAGCTGGTCCTGCGCGGGCACCAAGTGGTGCTGCTCGAAGCGCGCGACGTGCTCTCCGGCGAGACGGGCCGCACCAGCGGACACCTGACCAACGACCTGGATGATGGGTACGTGAAGATTGCAAAGAAGCATGGGGAGGCGGGGGCGAGGGTGGCGGCGGAGAGTCACGCGTGGGCGAGGGAGAGGGTCGGGCAGGTGGTGAGGGAGTTGGGAATCGAGTGCGAGTTTCGGACGGTCAGGGCGTGTGATGTGAGTCAATATCGGAGGGGGGAGGGCGGGTATGAGGGGGAGATGGGGGAGTTGAGGGAAGAGGCGGGGATGCAGAGGAGGTTGGGGGTGGAGAGTCGTTTTGATGTGAGTGGCTCCGGGCCAAACCCCGCCGTGTTGAAAACTTGAAGCAAGCTGTCTTCTGTGATACTTCCCGACATCGGGGGCGCAGGCAGAGTGCTTTAGGGGATAGTAAGTACAGAGGCTGATGGTGTAATAGGAGAACCTGACGATCCGCGGCTGGACTGGCAAACCGGACCAGCGCGGAGGAATGGTCGTCGAGAACCAGGCCACCTTCCACCCGACACGGTACCTCGCCGGCGTGCTGTCCTGGTTGAAGCAGCAGCCCAACTTCCAGTGCTTCACGCGCACCCGCGTCTCGGGGATCCATGAGAAGGGCGTGGAGCTGCTCGGTATGGGCCACAAGTCGGTGACAATCGAGACCGAGGCCGGCCACACGGTCCACGCCGAGTACGCCGTCGAGGCCACTTGTATCCCTCTTCAGAAGCTGTCCATAGTTGCAGAACTGGAGTACTTCCGCTCGTACTGCATTGCCGTGCGAGTACCCAAGGGTTCGGTCGAGGACTGTCTGCTGTACGACAACGCCGAGGCGTACAAGTACGTCCGGTTGACGGCATGCGATGAGAAGGACGACTATCTAGTGGTGGGTGGATGCGACCACAAAGTTGGACAGGAAGAAACCAAGCCGCGGTTTGAGGAACTAGAGAAATGGACCCGCGAGCGGTTCACCCAAGCTGGTACGACAGACTACCGCTGGAGTGGTCAAATCTTCGAGCCCGTCGACTACATGGCGTTTATCGGCAAAAACCAGGGAAACGACAAGGTCTTTGTTGTTACGGGTGATTCTGGAGACGGATTGACGCATGGTGTGTTGGCTGGGAAACTGATTGCGGACGAAATCGAAGGGAAGCCGAATGACTGGGCGTCGTTGTACAACCCGAAGAGACTGGGCAGCATCCTGAAGACGCTGCCGAGTATGGTGAAACACGACGTCCAGATCAATTTGCAGTACAAGCGGTTCCTCCAAACAGATATCACTGATATCGAGGAATTGGACCGTGGATGCGGTGGTGTCTTGAACTCGGTGAGTTGAACAGCTTCCTCTAGGTTTCGCTCTTTGCTTGCGACTAACATCGCCACAGGCAACCGCCAAGCCCCTTGCCATTTACAAGGACGAAAACGGCAAGGTGACCAAGTACAGCGCCCTGTGTCCTCACATGAAGGGGGTCGTTTGTTGGAACCACGCCGAGAAGAGCTTTGATTGCCCTGTTCATGGCAGCCGGTTCTCTAAAGAGGGCATTTGCGTTAACGGCCCTGCCAAGATGAACCTCCCGCCGGCGGACAAGGCGGGTGCGGAGGGCCAGGAGGATGCTGCCGGCGCGGGCATGTAAGAAGGGCGAATGGTTTTCGTTGGCTGAGCTACTTGGAGTGAAAAAAGACCCGGTGGACATTGGACAACCCTTTTTTTTAATTTTTTCATTGTATCATCTAAGAGTTCGATAGGAACCTCGTCTAACCCCGGCTGATAAAACCTACTTCCATTCCATGTTTTACCAGGAGTCCTTACCGAAACTAATACGATGAGCGCATCACAGCGGACCGTCCACCGTCAGCTAGCAACACAGCACCGTTGGTGTAAGCTCCCGTGCGGCTAGCCAGATACAGCAGCATGCCCGCCATCTCCTCGTCGCCCCCAAATCTCCGTGATGGAATGAAGCGCGGGTCATCAGCCGACTCCTTGCTGGGCTCGCGGGTGCCGATCATACCGCTTGCCAGCTCCGAGGGGAACACTAAAACCCAATTAGCACGTGTCCTTCCCCCACCACAACTCAAATATTCGAAACAAGTCACTCACGCCCCGGCGCCAATGCATTAGCCCGAATGCCATACCCAGCCAAGCTCGAGCTAGCCTGCTTGGTCAAGTGCATAATAGCCGCCTTACTCGCCGCGTACGCCGGCGACGACATGGCCATCCGACTAAACCCCGCAATACTCCCCGTGACAATGACCTGGCTCTGTATGGCCGGGACACCACCCCCCTCCACAATTGGCCTGCCAAACCCCCCCTCCAGCGCCCTCTTATTCCCCGCATCCAACAGCTCCAGAAAAGCCACAATCGTAAAAAACGCCCCCGTCACATTAACATCCAACGTCGAGGTCATCCCATCCATACTCGCCTGCGAAAACAGCTTCGCACGCACGTCCGCCACGGAGAGGGCCGGGTTCCAGCCCGCGGCCGGCCCGCCCACGCCACTGTTGGCGACGAGCAGGTTGACGTGGCCCGTGTCGGCGGCGACGCGGTCGACGGCGGATTGCAGGGACGCGTGGGCGGTCACGTCGCATTGGATGGGGCGGAAGATGTCCGGGTGCTCGGCTGCTGCGGTGTGCAGCACGTCGAGGCGCCGGCCGAGCAGGTAGACGCGCTTGGCGCCGTTGATTGCCAGGGCCCGCGCCATGGTGAGGCCAATTCCTGTGGGGGGATGTTAGGGTGGTGGGGGAGTGCGGCTGGAAGGTAGTGGTTATTGGTTGTGAGCCTTACCTGTCCCTCCGCCGGTGACCACGGCGACCATGCCATCGACTCGGAAGAGGGATGCTGCATCGAGATTGGAGGCCATGGTGAATTGGATTCTGGGAATGTGATCAAAGCGGGAGATTGTCTTTGGGTGAGCGTGTAGATGAAGTGAAGCCAAGTTCGGAATCCGAAATCACTGTCCACCATAATTCGGGGCCGGGCGGAGAGCAAATGGGTCACGAATACACGAGGCGGAGGCGGTGGGTATTTGAAGGAGGCGCGTCAGGGTAGCTTCATGTCGGGAATGGGAAGGTGTAAGGGGATATGGCATGATTCGGGTTCGGAAGGCGTCTGCCGCCTAGCAAGCCGAGACTCCCGGACGGTTGTACAAGACTCAATCGTTCGGATTGCCAGTGGTCCGGCTGCCCCTGCCCCCGGTTCTCTCGAACTGCAAACGTAAAAGGACACGGTGCTCGTAATGAAGTTCATAGGTAGGTACTCTAACGGCTAACAGTGCCAAATGGTTTGCGAGCATGTAAAACGATGTCAGATCTGGCGGCGGGGTGAAGTGATCACGAATATCGTGAAGTCTCCGGCTAGCGGTTGGTTAAGCACTCATCAGGGACAACAAATCGGGACTCCCCGTGCTTGACCCAGGACTGGTGGGGATTTCCGGGGCCCGATCTCGGCCGGGGACTGAGGAAAGGGAATTCCCGGGCCAAGTGCTGCTCTCGCACGGTGCCATGTTCCTAGTGAGGGGTAGGAGTGATTGACACAACGACTCAAGATTGCGGCCAAAGTCGATCGACCCTGACAGGTACCTTAACCGATCGCCGACCATCGACCGCCAACCACTACAAAATTGAAACGAACTGCAAGGCTTCGGCTCGCCATGTCGTGGTTCGAGCGCACTTCGCAAAGATGCGCCGTGTGCCCGGTGCGATCGGGGTTGCTGCGTTGCGGCGGCTGCAATGTGATCAGGTACTGCGGCCCCGAGCACCAATCAGCCCACCGACGGGAACACAAGAAAGCCTGTACTACCATCAATAATACTCAAAAAAACCTTGCGAGGGAAGAAGCGGCGCTTCGGGAGGACCGTCATGATATTCTGATGCCGGCCGATGTATTCAACACCGGCGTTGGGAAGTTCTGGGGGATATACGGCACCAGAGATTACATGCGGGCACGCTTCGCCGCCGCCGATGCACTCCTCCAAGTTGACACCGTGGCTGCTGTGGAGAAGTCTCTTGAGCACTTCACCGACATGTTGCGTCTCTGCCGAAGCGACAACTTGGGTGTGCGGGACGCCATTCCCCCGCTCCTGCTGCGGCTCGGCCGAGAACAGGAGTGCTACGATTTCCTCAAGTGGTGGGCGACTGTTGACGACAACTATGACTGGGCCAACCCGGCCTTGCCCTATCTCGACATTGAGAACGCCAACGCCTTCGAGTCTTTTGACTGGCCTCGGGAGAAACTTGCTCATCTTGTCACGGTAACGCTCCTGAAGCTGCGCCTTCTTCTCGACTTTCAAGCGTGCGAAAGGGACTTTGGGTACAGCGCTGGCGGTTTGACCGAGTTCGATCGTCCCATAGGACGGCTCGTGAAATCGAAGATTCAGACGTCCAGCACCCAGAGGACTGCAACGACGGTCAAGGCTTTAAAGGGCCAGTACCATCAGCTGTGCCGAATTGTCAACCACGCCAACCCTTACTTTTGGGACGCTTTGCTGGATGAGGGTGGAGGGGTTCCTGTCATGCCCGAATATTACGCGGCGGGCTCTCCAGAAGAAGCCCAGTTGGTTCTGCACTGGTGCAAAAAGGCCTGGGAAGAAAGTGAGGACGCTTTAGTGATGGTTGAAGAAGACACCCGCCAGTTCGTCCAGGTCTACAAAGGGCCCGCCCAAACCGCCGGTCCGCCGGCCCCCCGCATGGCTGCTGCTGAGCTGGGGCCCGGAGATCTGGAGAGAAGGCGGGGCGTTGGCCGCGTCTTCCCCTCCAAGATCCAAGATACGCTACCGACTTCCTCTCTGTCCGATCTTTTCCCCGCCACTCCGGTCAGCGGCGGCCAAACCGTGCGCTTTATTTACAGGGACGACCCCGGAAAGCTCCTTCTGTATATCGACGGTGCTTGTACGGACAATGGGCAGCCGAACCCTCGGGGTGGCTGGGCGGTTGTTTATGGCCCCACCGATGATGCATCCGGCCGGCTTGAGGAGAAAGGACCATTTGGACACGAAAGCGTCCCTACTAGCAACCGCGCTGAGTTGCGCGCTGCCATCGCGGCCTTGCGCCTGCGCAATTGGGAGCAGGATGGCTTCGACGGCATGGTCATCGCAACCGATTCCTCCTATGTTGTTGACGGCGCCACCGGCTGGACCCAGGGCTGGACTGTTAACGGGTGGAGGACCCAATCCGGGCGCGCTGTCAAAAACAAAGACCTGTGGGAACTATTGTTGGGCGAGGTGGAGAGGTGGGCCGATCGCGGGTTCCAGATTACCTTCTGGAAAATCCCCAGGGAACTGAATGTGGGTGCTGACGCCCTGGCGAAGGCGGCAGCCAGCATGGCGAGGCCCGAGCCCGTGTTTCGCGATGTGACGGCAACCTCCCCGCAGAGCACGGCTAGCCGCGGTGGTGGTAGGACAGAACCCAAGCCCCGCGTTTTGGCCTTGTGTCTCGATTATGAGGACATGTTCCAGAGCATTTATGGAAGTCTCATCGCGAAAATCACGTCCAAAGCCACAATAGAGCGGGTCACGAAACCCGAGGTCGCCCTCACCATGTTGAGCGAGGAGCCCCCACCATCCGTCATTCTCGTTACCGATGGCGCCATCACACGCCAGCAAAAGCTTTGCGAACGTGTGATAGACCTGTTACGCGGCGGAACGGCGGTTATCCTAGCGGGCTGCTTCAGCAGCATGGTCACGCAGGGGCAGTTTAATCGTTTCTTTGCTCGCCTAGGCCTGCCGTGGCAGCGCGGCTCTTACCAACGGGAGAGCGTTAAACTCCGCCCCCAGGTCGTTGGTGACCGCTTGGCGGCCCGGTTACCTTCGTCCTACAGCCAAAAGGCTCTCTTCATCACTGATGTGGAGAGCTCCGCGGTGTGGTACGCTGAGAGGGAAAACTCGAATGAGGCGGCCGTGGTGTTTGCCACAGTTGGGGCGGGCAAGCTCGGTTATGTTGGGGATGTAAACGGCGAGGAAGGCTCGGAAGCTGTTGTCCTCGCCATGTGTGGGCTGCTCGATGGACGAGCCTGATAGTACTAAGGAGGGGAAGGGGGGGGGGAAGGAACCTTTCGACATATCATTTGTTAATTTGCAACGACATCAAGCAATCCAGACATCTATCCAAGTCCCTAAATTGAAGTAGTCGCCAAATGCAGTCCCAATTACATACCTAATTACAGTCCCATAACCCCTACCGCCGCACCCTCCTCACGCCAGACATGCTATACCCATTCTGCTCCCAAAAGGGCTTTTTCTGCCGCCCATCAGACTTGAGCATCGCGAACGGGTTAAAGATCGTCTCCCGTCTTCGACCGCGAATCATTCCACCCCGGCCCCTTCAAGATGGTCTTCCCGTTCTGCGCCAGGTACATGCACGGGTTCTCGGGCAAATACCCCGCCGGATGCTCCACATTCTACAGCACCGTCCTCAGCAACACAAACGCCGCGTCAAATACATAAAAAAACCACTCGTACCGCACCACGGGGTTCAAGCTCGCCGGTTCCACCCCCTCCCTCGAAACCGGCACCCCAAAGTGCTCCACCATCCGATACACCGTCCGCCCTCCCAACAATAGCATACTCACCACCGCCACCGGCAACGGCCGCACCACCCTCGCATTACGGATCCGCCCCCCGCGACAACTACCATAAAACACCCCCGCCAGCAGCAAAAAGGCCGCCACCACGATCAGCTGCACCACCAGCGACGCCTTGGTCAGCGTGTCGCCGATGCCCAGCGACTTGTCGGGCGCCGTGCGGTCCGTGATGTAGGCCACCCCCGCGATGGTCAGCAGCTCGATGGCGGCGGTCAGCGCGCTGAAGATGATCAGCGTGCGGTGCGGGTGGATCGGCGCGAAGTAGGGGACGAAGTGGAAGAGGCGGGTTAGGATCAGGTGGTTGGTTAGTTGGAGGAGGGGGCTGTTGGTGGGGGTTCGGTTAGTTAGTGGGATACCTGGGTAGCTTGGTGAGGGTGGGGGAAAGGCTGTCTGCTGTGGTTGCACCGGTGGAGGGGGGGAGGGGGGGTCGGGAGGGGGGTGCGTACGGTGCGGCGTAGATCAACAACAGGCTGGCTGTGTAGACTTGCGGGTCATCGTTGTGGTAGGTCCCGTAGCTGCGGGTGGCATAGCCCGCTGCCAGGAGAGCGCAGGTGAAGGGCAAGAAGAGTGTCATTGCCCAGGATTTGTAGTAGCTAAAGCAGCGAAGATTGGGTTGTTAGGCCGGCCTATCCGATACGGGAGAACAGATGTCCGGGAACACTGACAAGGACTGGCCAAGATGGCATAGTCCCGCCGCTCCAAAGGCAGCGGCAAAGAATATGGCTGCCGCCGTGTTGGGCGCATAAAAGTAAACGCTACCCGCGACTTTGACCGTCAGTATGCTGTACATTTCGTGTCGTCGGTGAGGTCGTACCGGGATTCCCGTCTGCCATGGCAGAGATGCGTGCGGTGAGGCCCGCAAAGGCCTTGTTCTCAATAGTATGGCGTGTCGGGGTTGTGGTTGTTTCTTTTGATTGTTGGTTGGAATTGTAGACACCGACGCGCCAAGTTTTGAAGGAGTTGAAGACGGCGATTTTTACAGGCGTCGTCGGCTCGGGCGACCTGTGACCCGATGATCAGCCGCGACGCAGCATTGGTGAGATTCAGGATTGAGGCTGTGTCCAATTTCGACCAACCAAAAGATCCCGGGCGAGATGCCGAGCCCTGCAAGTCCTTCGTATAAGAAGCCGACCCGACCATTCGACGCGACTGTCCCTTCCTGCGAACACAATGGGGCCATAGAGGGTATAAATTGCACGTGGAATATGAGACGACGATAATATCAGTTAGTTACATGTAGCCACATATCTAATATTACCCACTCATAATACGCCCCGTCTACCTTGTCCTTTCCACATGAGTACCTATTCCTAACAACTTTCCAATGACTCGCTTTAGCGGGTTCTAGGTATGTACACGTCAGTACGTGTAGTCTCCATGACAACCACAGTGCACTCTTGGAGCCCCGATGAGCACATACCCAGGGGAGTCAACTCGGCGTGCAATAACTACCAAGTCGGAACTTAACGAAAGAATGATCCAGATACCGCCAAGACAGCGAGGGCAAATTAAAGGCAGCTGCCCAAACCAGGCAAAGCGCCAAGCGGCTCATGGGGTGGGATCCTTTGCCGAGCCCGAAAGTCCCCTATCCGGATTCCGGATTCCGGACGTACGCTCCACCACCAAGCAAAATCGCGGAGGTTAACTCTTGTCTGATGCCACCCTGCCGAGATCAATAAGTTTTTGTCGGGCGCACCAACAACACTCGCTCATGTCTTCCGTCCCGCTCCTCTGTCCCGCTCTTCTGTTCCTGGCAACTCAACGCAACACACCAAGGTTGAGGGTCAACACTAACATTAACGACGGTCATGGTGTATTGTTGGCTGTGGGCCTCTGCAGCGCTGGCGGCGCTGGGGGCGGCGGCAGAGGTGGTCACAACAACCCGGCAATTTGAAGTCGACATCGTCTTTCCGCACAACGAGACATACAAGCCGGCCGAAACCATGCCCATCGTTCTCGCCATCCAGAACCCCGCCGTCGCGTTATCCATTGGGCACTTCAGCGTATTCTGGACTATCAGCCAAGTCCAGGGGTGGGATACGATTGGGTCCTCTGTGGACTTTGGCGATTTCCAAGTCTTCAGCAATCTAACATCGACCGACCCAACTCTGTTCCTCGTCGGCTTCACCAATGTCACCGATTGGATCCGTTACGGACGTCCAACCCCACCAGCCACCGAGTATACACCAGGACCCCACGATCGATATCTCTTGCAGTGGAGCATTGTTTGGACGAGCCTGTTTGGGAACTGCACGAAATTCGAATCCTTGGTTGGCGCTGATCTGCCGTCCGAGGGAGCTGTGGCGTTCAACATCCAGACAGTGTGGGGGGAGGGAGGCTGGCAGGGGGAGATCCACGACGTGCAGGAGGGCATCCCCGAGTGCCCAGAATTTGGAGGACTCGTCCAGATCGGCCCGCCCCCGAACGCGACGAAGCCGGCATGTCCCGGGTTTGAGATTCTCGAGGGCAGGGAAGGGAACCCCTGTGCCGTCACCATCGACCAGCCCGCGGCGAGCAGCATTTGGAGCCGCGTGTCAACCTCCGTGGCGAGTTCCATGTCAAGGTACCACCCGACCCCAACCACCACCGCTGCTGTGGAGTCTTCAACAAGTAGCGGCGGCGTGGGTCCCGCGCGGACAATGCAGACGGCGCTCGCGGCCGCCTGCGTCCTTTGCGGCCTGGCATTGTAACAGGTTCGGGAAAGGACTAAAGGAAACAAGGGAGGCAAGGCGTTGGGTCAGGATATGCCGGGCAGAGTCAAAGTCGCGATATCCCGGATGGGGGGCATTCTTACTGTCCTATCTGATGTTACGCTAATTCATAATACGTGTAACTAATGAGTTGAGATGTTGATGAGGGTGAAAGTTGCTTGCTGCCTTCGATACCATATACTGCCAAATAGGAAAAGACACGTTGGGGCGAGTAGGTACCTAGTTTCATGGCAACAAAACCATGGGAATAGGATGATACAAAAGCACCGCCGACCCCGCCCTGCTGAAGTCCGGGCATCCATCACCAGCCCCAATTGTTGCCCTCGTTGGAGCTATCCACAATTATTGCATATTTACCTCACCCTTGAATTGTGTTCCCTTCCAAAGATGGCACTGTTTCATTCAAAATGTCGCCAACATCATGGGAGGCGGACAGACACCCAGCTCCTCCCATTTTTAAGATTGTGAAGTGTTGCACAAAACGGGTGGCTGGAGATACGGTACGGCGGGTCAACGACAGGGGCTTATTGGGCCCACCAGACTGGGCCCAATGCAGCGTTTCTAAGGGCACAGAGGCTCTCCTTTTCTTCCAGTTACATGAATCAGACTGTCAGACAGTTGCATCACGAATTGAAGCCTCGTATCAGTGACCTTGCTTGCACTACGTTGCGCGCCCTGTTCAGAAGTATCGCTACTCTGGCTGTTGGATTTCCAACATGTCGCCGTCTCGAAGCGAAGTCTGAAACAAATGGAGCACTCTGTCTTGAACAACTGGCCAGAGCTGTTTCCATACCATTGCCGGTAGACCGTCTTCCCCGGGTGCCTTCCACGGTTTGGCGGACAGGACCTTCTGCTCCACCTCTTCCATTGTCAGGTCCGGCATTTGTACTGATGCCCGCTGAGGACGTTGTCCCTCGTCTTCGATTCTCTCTGGCAGCGGCGAGAAAAAGGTGGCTAGTAGCGTTTGTGCTTATTTTTCTTTGCCTTCCGTGACAGAGCCGTCAGGTCGGGTAAGCGGGGGTACCTTGTCGCCCATCGTGCCGCTGCCCGTTTGCAGGTACTTCGTTGCTTGCCAGATGTTGGCGTCGTTCCAATGTGAGCTTTTCTGTCTGCGGATAGCGTCATGGTCCTCCTTGGCCGCATTCCTGGCTCGCTGTTCGAGTTCTGGTGACGTTTGCCTCATCCTGCGTCGAGCTCTCGTCTGGTTTCTCCAGAATGTATAGGCCTGGCGGAGCCGTGTCAGGTTTGTTGTCCACCACCGCTTGGCGTATGGTCATGGCTTGGCTTTGGGCGTCAGGCCGAAGACCGCTTCGGTTACCGCCGTCATGAGCCGGTCCGTTTGCTGCTGGACGCTGCCACCCTGGGGGGTATGCTCGAGGTTCGCTGCCACCCTGTTCCTGATTTCTGCCCAGGGCGCGTCCTTGAAGAGCAACCTCGTCTCGGTTTGGCGGTCTTCTCCTGCGATGTCGAATGTCGTCTCGATCGCTCTATGGTCAGATCCATGGTCGCACGGGTGGATCCGGCACTTGAGTAGTTGCTCTATTAATTCCGCTGAGGCCAGTACCAGGTCGATCGTACTTTCTGCGTCCCCTGACTGCCATGTTTTCGTGCCTCTTGGGAGGAGGCTGCAAAGGGAGTGTTCGTCCATGAGGTTGATGATGCGCTCTCCCTCGCCTTGCCTCAGTGGTGACACGTCGTCTCCACCCCAGAGCTGGTCGTGGCGGTTGAAATCGCCCGCCAGAATGATGTCCGTCCTATTTCCCGTTCCGTTTCGGAACCTCCTAATCAGCCGGTTGAGCTCTCTCATCGCCACTTCCAGTGCTTCGTCGCTGCCTCCCTCCACGTAGACTGGCACCACCAGCACCACCCGGTCTGGGAGTCGGATCTGCGCTGCGGTGAGGTCTGCCGACGGCACTGGAATTTGCTCGGCCTCCACATCGCTTCGTACCCATAACATACTCCGAATCGGCCATCGTGTCTCTCGTCTTGTCGTTGGTATTAGATTTGTCCAATTTTGATGACTCATTGGCATCGTCGCCACCGAACCGTCAATCAGTCTGGCATATAGCTCGGAGATTGCCAATGTTGCATAGTTCTTAAGCCCCTCGTCGTTTAGCAGACTCTCTTGCACTTCTCTCCGTTTGCGGACGTTAAGCTGAAGGAATTCTCAAGCGTTCTGGGTCCCATTGTGCAGCCAGCGTACCCGAAAGTTCTTGCTGAATGATTCGTGCGGTCCTCTGAAAAGCATACACTTCAGGACTGCGGAATGATAGGTCTTGTGGTGATGACGCTGTTCCGCACACCTTCCACATACCTGCGGCTTCTTGCATGCGAAGGCCTTGTGGCCCATCTCTTGGCATCTGTAGCATTGGGTTGGGCCCTCCCGGGGCGCGAACACGGTCGTGTAGGCGGATTCTCCGGCTAGATGGAAGTAGTGCCCGTCTAGAAGTCGCCTTGCCTCGCTACCCTTCGTCACGTAGACGGCCATCGAGCCGTAAGCCTTGCCGGTGTCCTTCCTGCTGAGCCAGGCAATCTTCGCGATGTTGACGTCGTTCTCTGCCCCAAGGGCTTCCATTGCCCCTGGCAAAAAAGTTCCCGTCAGCGTCGAGGACCGCTGTGCGGTTATCATTGTCGATCCTCACTGGGTAGAGCTGATCCCTCAACACCCGTACGCCCAGGGACAGAGATCTTTTGTGCTGCATCCCTTGACAATCCCTGGTCTCGTTTTCGTCTCTACAAACCACCCTTGACCCGAATCCGGGTTCCGGGCCTCCTTTACAACCGCAGCGCAGCGCCAATCTCCCATGTTCTCCAGTGTCCGGACCTCAGCCTCGATTGCTTTCCTGACATCCGCCACCTGGACTTTGCCCTTTTCTTTTCCTTCCACTCTGGATGTGTCGATGGTGCAGAATAGGGTATCGGTAAAAGTCGAGGGTGCCGTGTTCGACAAGGGAGAGGGTGCGTAGTCCGCTCGGTTGGCTGGATGGTGGTGTGCGGGCGACTTCGGCGTACGATGCTCTTGCGCTTGGCTGGGACGGGGCCGTAAATACCGGGTTGCGTAGAAGGACGTCGATCTGGTCTCGAGCTTGCCTCAGTTCCTCTGATAACTGTGTCTTTGTGTCCGCTAGGGCACATTCCATTTGACGTTGGTATTCCTGCAGCTTATGGTGTAACTCTTGGATCGTGTTCTGCTGCTTGCTGACCACGTCGCGTCGCGTAATTCGCAAATCATGTTCCGTTGTTCGATGATTGTACCGAGCATCTCGTTTCGCTGTGCGTTGAGCACCTCTAGGAGTGTCTGTAGCGCTGTCTTCCCGGTCCCAACCTCGCTGTTGGTCGCGTTCCCGCCTCCTAGTGCGCGTGTTCCTCTCGACGCGACGGTCCGCGTGGCATCGCTCGTAGTCCTTCTAGACGCGGTGGTTGCATCCTCGATCGATTGCATGGCTTCGCGAACCTTCGCACTCGGTTTCGGGGCGCGGCTCAGTCGCTTCGGTGAGGGTGGTTGGTCGGCCACCTCGACCATAATCTGGTCCTGCGTCGACGCCGCCATCTCGCAGTCCCTCGGCAATGCCGCTCAACTTTCTCAAAAGATTTCGAACGCGTCTCACGTCCGCCTCGCCTGGTTCAGGTTAAAATCGCTATCCAAAATACAGTTGCGCCGAAGAGACCAGTTGGGCACGAGATTACATGCAAGTCGTTGCCAGAGGCTTGGTGCCTGAGGTTTGTCACTGTCAAGGCAGAACCACGTGATCTCTTGCCATCCTCATATTTCCATTGCAGCCTTGGGATACCGTCCGCAATTTAGCGCAGCCCCTCACGGCAATCCTGGTCGACTGTCCGCTTCCTGAAGAGTTTGCGACCACATGGCTAGCAGCGAGGGTGTGAGTCTCCAAGGGGACCTCATAAACGCCCCTTCGGCGGCTCTTGCAGCATCGGGCCTGGCCCAAGGACTGTTGCGTGCGGTATCGGCAGACAATGTCAACCCCCTCGCCGTCACCCAGGTCCAGGCCATCGGCGCCTGCTTCCAATCCAATGGAGACTGGGCCGCTAGGGCGCCCGACCTCCTTACTAGAACTCCATCCGCCAGGCTCGACCGGCTTTCCGCCTGGATCGGATGGTCAAAGGGAGATGTCCCGTCATTCATGAGTCAGACGGCCGGCGGACGTACGGCTTCTCTTATCTGCCTCGCTCTCGGCAACCTATACACGAAAGAGCGGTGCGGTATGATCTTGTTCGACCTCTCCCACGATGTCCTCCCCTCCGACATGCAAAACTCCGGATTGACTCAGCTAGGCGATGTCTGCATGTGTCTGCAGAACAAGCTTGCGTGTCTTGGGTTCGGAAACCACCTCGCTGCTCAGCTTACCCGGCTGCGGGAATGCTTCTTTGAGTCGGGCCAGCAGTACCCGCAAGACTTGGCCGACACGCCCACCGAAGAGGTAATGCACGCATTCTTGGTCGCTGTGCGGGACGTCCTTCGGGAGGAGAACCAAACCCTCTACTTCTCGGGGTCGCAGTGCGCGGGGACCTTGATCGCGTTGGTCCTCGCCATGTGTCCCGAGGATTTACGAGTCGAAGTTAATGGAGAGATGATTATGCGTGGCCGTCGAGACTCCATCATATTTTCTGTGTCAAATGAGCCGGATACCAAGTCGAACTTCTCAGTTGAACAATGTCTAAAGGCCCACACAGGCGACTTTTCCCGCGATTACATCGTCGAGGGTCGACACGATCTCAATCGACAACTGAGCTTTTCCTGGGGTGGCTTCTTATCTGCTCAGTTAGACGTCGCTTTTGCCGTACATGGTGTGAGGCCGCACGACCTCCTAAAATCGGCTTTAGCTACCTTGGTTGCGTCCGCGATCAAGACGTTTCGCGGTGAGGATTGGCTCAGCGATCCGGCAAAACAGTATGGGTTTTCATACTGTCCGCCAGCAGGCTTGAAAACGCTCTTGGGTCCCAGATATGAGCACATTATGCAAGAGCGCCTGACGAGAGTGCTCTCGCAACCGTCTGAGACGACCCCAGACTTCGTCTCCCAATACAAGGCGCTTCACGATATCGTGGAGGTGATAATACCATTCTCCCGTTGTATCTGCGCCAACTGCGGCCAGCATCCCTGGAAACCCGGTCCAGCAGCAAGAAGACCAAGAAAAAAGACATGCCCAGTCGCCCAGATCTGGGTAACTCTTGGCTGGGTTGTAGAAACGGCGATCTGCTGTCTCTTTGTTCAAGCATCGTCGAACACGTCGCTAAGAATGAGCTCCGGCGGTTGGGGGACGACAAACTCGACCGCATTTCTCTTTGAACGCGGATGCCCAGAAGAAATGAACGCAAAAACAGAACATACCATGTTTTGAGCGGGATTCACGAATCGATCTTAAACTTGGTCGGGGTGTGGAATCGCGGTTTCTTCTCGGACGACGAACAGCCCCCAAGGGTATGTAGCAGCTCCAGCGGCTCAACCATCTTCGCAAAGACCCTCGAGTTTCCAGAAATTAAAAACCCATGGAGTATCGAGTACAGCTTAGTAGACGGGAGGCTACAATACGGCTCCGATAACTTTGGGTTCATCATCTGCGCCTCGGTGGAGAAGGGATCCGCTAAAAAACTCACAAGGAAAAAGGCGCCCAAAACGCTGCTGCCCAAAGAACATCCAATCTCGCCTTCCAGGATTGGCGAACACTCGAGCTTCCTGATGACGCTTCGTCCAGCTTTCGTCGAAGGCCAGCAAGCTCTCATTCTTCGATGTATAGTCACTCAATCAACTAGCATTGTCGAGCTGAATTTTCAAGAGCTGCACTTGGGGTTGATGCAGCTTGCACCTGCGGACAGCTGTGAGCACAATCTAGCCTCTTCATTGACTCTCCCCGCCGATACGCTCATCAAAGCTACATCTGTCATCGCTCCAGTGGCAAGTGGAAAAGATGCAATCGGCGTAACACTTACACAACGAAACGGAGAGGCCCAGTTCCTCTGTTGCATCTCAGCGGTCCCCCAATTGTACCAGGGGGACTGCTGTATTTCCTGCGCCGTAACTCAGGCCCAGGAGAAGGGCTATTCGGTGGTAATCGGCGGCTCGCCGAGTACATACTTAGTCGACCTCGGAACCGGAGAAAGCGCACGTCACTTTGCTTTAGTTCACGGTATGTAACGTGGGTTGAGAAGGGTAGGCACTGCAAGTAACGGAACCAGGGTTGAGGGTGGGTATGATGATCAATTGAAGCCTGCCCTTCTGATCAGAGCGGGAATTGGGCTCTCTATCTTATGTGGCGTAGTCAGCTCAGCTCAACTGAACCCCTTTTCAGCTTGTATAAGCCATCCATCAGCTGGTATCATCATACATCACACGGCTGTTCCGGCCGCACGATCCTTCTGGGTATTACATTTTTGCTATTAGTTAGAACAAGTGAAGCTAGAGCTAAAGGAAACAAAAGGAGGAGAAGGAAAGGCAGAATCGTGGGGAGGGACTGAGGGTACGAAAGTATTTATCGTTAAGAGTTAACTTCGCGATCGAATAGCTGGTATGCGGGGTACTAGGAATACGGGATAAATTCAGGCCTGTGTGCTGCTTGGCGCTCGACCTATGATTAAATATCAAGTGGATATAGATGAATTAGGTTGTTTTAAGAAATTAAGTATTGTGTATATAGAGTCGTTCGTGTCGTCCGTTAATTGTCCGAGTGGCTATGGATGGAATAGGTTGTTGAAGGGCTGAGCACTGTGGTGGCCTCGGAAACCCTCGGGTCGTCGGTACTGCCTGACGTCGTGGATGGGGGAGGGGCAACCCACAACAAACCCCTGGTGAAGCGATTCCCAAACCTTCACACGTGGCGCGTGCGGACCCTGGCGATGGGGTACTGACGACTCCCAAGAAACCCATTCTAAACCTATTCCCTCTGGTCAGACGAACACCTTTATGTATATAGGGATGGGCTTCCGCCCACCACAACCTCTCTTCTCTTCCTTTCTCCTCACGTTTCGCGTTTTTGTCTAGAAGGCTTAGCTGGTTGCCAACCACACCTACCTTTTCTGCCTGTTACAGAACAGAGAGATTAGTTGTCACGAAGGCTTGGAGGGAAGGAGCGGAGCCAGGATGGAATTTCAGTGTCTGGCGCCGCACTCCGGGATTCGTGTCATAAAACCGGGAGCGCGTGGCCGGAGGCCGGGTCGTGGGTCCGGATCTGGCCCCGCTGACAAGATTCCCCAAAAAAATCATCCGCCCCACCATAGGCCCCACCCTGAGTCCCACTTATGCCTGGAGGAACGTGCCCGAAAAAAAGGAACCGCCCGAGTTACCCCTTCCGAAAGGTTCCACTTTTGCCTGGAGGAACGTGCGAGGAACGAGTACTTCCGAAAGGTTCCTTTTGCCTGGAGGAACGTGCGAGGAACGAGTACTTCCGAAAGGTTCCTTTTGCCGGGAGGAAGGTGCGAAAAACCAGTACTTCCAAAAGGCACCTTTTCCGAGAAATTCCATGCTCCAAGCACGGACCAATTCCGCCCCATAAAAACCCCATAAAACGCCCCATCAAAAAAAGCCGTGCCATTTCTCCCTGTAAACTGTGAAGATTTACTGTCATTATCCTAACGATTGTGGAAGCAGCCATGTTGCTTTGCCCGGAGGAACTTGCCTCTGACGATGAGCGTCTCGAAGTTGGGCTTGGCAGTGGTGGTGCACGGACGGTCTGTTGGGGTTTGTCGGCTGTGGGGCTGGCCCCGCTTTATAAGGGCCAATGAGATGGCGCCCCCCCGGCCAGGTTCGCCGACGACCACAAAAAGATGCAGATTGCAGGGCAACACGGCAACAAGTTGAGAAGGAAAATAAAAATATTAATTGAAGCATCTTATTCCGCTAAAAAAGCTGGAAAGAGCTCCAAAACAGAGCAACGTTGGAGAGCTGTGCTACGATCTGAGCTCG